CAGTGTTGCCCCCGTACCGGACCGGGGACCGGCAACGGGATCGCAACCCTCGGTGTTGCTCCCGTGCCTCGCTCAGCCAGTGAGCGGGAACCGGTCTGTACGTGGGATCCGAACCCTCAGGCGGGAGCGCCGCCGCACTTCCCAAGCGGCGCACTATCCAGTGCGCCACCGGGCCGGCCCAGAATTAAATTCTTTTGTAGGCTAGTTCCTCTGGCATCAGAGGCCCTTTAAGTGACAAAGAAATCAAGCAAAACCTAAACTCAACCAAATGCCTGAGTTGGAATATCAATTATCTTCCTTTTGAAACAATCAAAAAATCGTAATTCCTAGAAGGAACTATAAGCTAAAGATTTTTTTATTGGCACAGACATTTGTGCCAAGTCTCTTCAAGTTTTCCCCAGCTGTGTGGTCTGGCTTTTCCAGCAGCATGTAGAATAGGAGGACTCTGGGGTTGGCGAAGTACTTAGAGGAGGAGAAATGTGGTCTGGCTGGGAGTGGGCAGCAGTTGGAATGGGCAAGAGGGAAGACATTCCAGATCACATAAAACTTGGCAAGACAATTTTGACTGCCAGCAAAGAAACCTGACTCACTCCATCCACACAAGCTTTAACCCTCTGTAGGAAGACGCATGCAAGTTTCGCCAATGATTTTGCTTGTTTTGTTCACAGGGGTATCTCTAGGCCCAGAATAGCACTGATACATACTAGACACTCAATAAATATCCATCAATTTAGATGAATGATTGACACAGGCAAACATATTTATCAGGGGATGGTTTTGTAATATTTTGTCTATCCTTAGCAGCCACTGTATTGAGTATGAGCAAGGACTGAATGTCACCTTTGTAACAGTTCATGAGCAGCAAAACAGGTTTTTAGTGACTAACGAGAGCCCAGAATAAAGGCGCTTACCATCAGATGGGAAACTCATATGCTGTGTCACTCATAATTTAACTCACTGGAGGTGATGCTCCAGTGACAGGCCACTATTGACATTACTGGGAAACCACCCTTCAGATTCACCAGGGAGCCAGCAGTATCAAGAACCACAGGACTGAAAGCATTACCCGTCCCTGGAGTAAAGGACTTCTTACCTTCCTCCTTTAAGCGGAGCTCTGTTTTCATCAACCACTCCCGTGCATCCCTGACCGACAGGATCAGAATGTTGACCAGCCGAGTCATCGCTGCCTCTGCTACAGAAAGAACAGGGTGAGTGAAGAGGCAGCTTCAGGGACTAGCACACCTAGTACTAGAGCCAAAGCTGCACCTCCAAGAACTAGTCTTCACTTGTGCTTACTCTGCAGAGATCCCTCCTTACAAGGGTAAGGACCCAAAGCCAACTTCTGCTGTCACAAACATAGACTACAATTAAATACCAGCTTGACACCAATACCGTGTGCCTGTAGAGACTGCCAACAGTAAACCTTTCAAGGAAGCTTGTGTTCAAAATGTTATTAAACCTTAAACTGGAGAAAGTGTCTGGATTATAGAATGTTTTTAAATATGTAATTTCACTAATTTTATACATAACTTCCATTCAGTGTTGCTAAGAAATAACTAATAAGGAAGCTGGGGAAAATCTGATTCAAAGACCACATAAGAATTCTTATTATTTAAAGATTCACACTGCGTATGACTTAAGGAGCCTCCTAAAAGAAATAGATCAGCTATATACTTCCAGATCTTAGTCAAGGGTCTGGCACATAGCAGGTACTCAAGAAATGATCACTGAATGAATGAATATGGAGAACCTTCACAAGTTTTCTCAAGATTTTAAACATTCTCTATCTTCTCTTTAGAATTAGTCAGCAAACCATTTTCTCATTTGTGGTGGCCAGAGAAACCATCCCCGCCAAAGATAAACACAAATTTTTGATTGGGGAAGGTGTGGTCCAAATAATGTGGTTTTTCTGTAATTTGAGAATACACATTCCTCAAATGTATATCTGCTAATGCCAACACTCCATCATCCCCAAGCCAGACGTCACTACAAAAGACTAAACTTTGAGAAGCGTTCGCAAAGCCTGGGTCTAACAATATCTAGGCCCCCATCTCAGCGGGCCCTTACCGCCAGCCCAGGCCTTCCGCCTGTAGAGGTCCTCCACCATATCCAAAACTCTCTTGATGTGCTCCTGGACTTTCCTCTGCAGCATGTGGCTGTGCTCTTCAGAGCCTAGGTGACTACGGATCCACATGCTCTGCTCGATGTCCTGCACCACCAGCTTTCCTTCGTCAATGGCTGGGTCCACCTTCTCATGGAAAAATTCCGAGTATTTCTGATAGGCCACTTGCTGCCTCTGGTGGCTGTCTAGGCAGATGTGCTGCTCATAAGATTCGCTGTTCCTCTCCAGGCACTCCTTCCCTTCCAGCTCAGCCCTGAAAAGGACCACAGCCTCTGAAGCAGCTCCCTCAAATGTTTTGCTGGGGCTGAAATAGCTCTCAGGGCTGCGGGTGAACTTCACTCCACACAGGTCGCACTGGGTCCTGTCCACATCAGCCTTTTTGAAGTTTCCAGCCCCAGGTTCTCGGGCCTCCTCCCTGAGGTGCTCCACCTGCGTGCTCACTCTTCTCCTCCAGCTGATGCACAGAGACACCACCAGGCATGCTCTCCTCAGCTTCCGCTGGATAGAAGCCTTCCGCTGCTTTTGGGAAAGAATGGCGGCCAGGAGGTGGTCTCGTTCTTCTAATGCCAGCTCATCTGTCTCTTCCTGACCAAACTCACACTCAGGTTCAGCAAAGTGGTCCACAGGGTCCACACAGATCAAGCGGTTTAGTTTGACCTCCTCATGATAGAGGCCACGGACCACAGACCCCTTGGTGTGCACACTGTCCCATCGCCAGTGGCAGTCCATCAGGTACTCTTCATCCCGCTCAAAGAGCAGGTCCTGTAGCGCCTCAGCCACGGACTTCACGTTGGCTGCCATCAACACCCGCCTCACCACCTTCAGGAGCCTCTCGGGAACCTGGTTGGGGGAGTCCATGCTCATGAGCTGCAGCCTGGTCTCGAGCTCCTGGAAGTGGCGGTAGAGAAGAGGCTTGCAGTATGGCTGCAGGACTTCCTTGGCATTCACTAGCATCACCAGGCACAGCACCAGTGTCCTCTCAGCCTCACCTGAGACCACATAATCTATTTCACTGAAGGCATCAAGCAGGACATTGAAGTTCACATTCTCATAGCCACATAGCACCTTGACAAGGTAGGAGAGGTGGAACCGGAAATCCTGAATAGCTCTTGTCACGTCTTTCGGTTTGTATTCTTGAATGATGGAGAACACATCCCCAAGCTCCTTGTCCTTCCTGCTGAACAGGAACTCCCAGTAGTGCAAGAGAGCAATGTAGCTCTTGGGGAGGCACAGGATGGCGTTCTTCCAGAGGCGGGCCAGCACCACCCCGCAGTGGACAAACTGGAACTCCAGCAGGGCCACTGTGCTTCCAATGCTGGGGATGAGCGGTTCTTTGCACCTCTTGACAAGGACATTCATGAAACGGAAAAAGAGCCTCTTGTAGTCTTCTGGGTTCCTGTACACATAGAACTGGTCAATGCAATTCTCTAGCAGCCGGATGAAGCACAGGTGGGTCTTTTCCATACTCTCATCATCTTTGTTGGGCACCAGCATACCAAATTTCCCTTCTATTCCTTTCATCTTGCTGCCTCTCCCACTGCCCCTTTCCTCTTTTTCAGACTCTAGAGCTTTGAGTTCCCTGTTGTAGTTGTCTTCCTCCTGGTGGAGCAGCTTTTCAAACTCCTCCGGGTAGTTGGAGGAGAGAAGAAAAGCCTGCATGGCACTCAGCCACAGGTCTGTGGATTCCCGGCGGGTGCGTGCCCTTTCATTTTGAAACAGAAAGTGGATGTACTCTTTCAAAGCAAACCTGTAGAATCGGAAGGATTTGTAATTTGGTTTGAGAATTTCTTTGCATGCCATGGGGTTTTCTGACAACACTCTCTGATGGAAATGCTTAGGGAAGAGGACATTCAGAAAGGATTTGCAAAGACCGTACATATCTGTCGATAAAATATAATCAATTTCTTCAAGTTCTTCAGCTAAGATTTTAGGGAATACTTTTTTGGCTTCCAAAAGCAATCCGTTGATTGCCACCAGGTGCATTTTCGACTGAACCAAACACTTGGCCTCACAACGCCGCAGAGGCCTGTGAAAGTCTTCACAGTTTTCATCATCACATTTTAAGCCTACAATAAATCTCATGCAGACCCCTGGGTAGGTCTTCCCAAACAGGCTTTGTGTGATCTGACACAGCCTATTCAGAAGGTGTTTGTTTAGGGCTAATTTCACCTGGTCGGTCATTACCAAGAAATGGTCTTTTGTTTTCTTTTCTCTCAAGTTCAAATCCAAGTCAACAATTATTCTTAATATGGGTCCAGGGTCATTCTGAGCTATCTGGCAATACTTGGCATCCACCTGGGAAATCCCAAAAAACTCAAAGCAAGACTTGACCATTTCTTTCTCAGCATTGTTAGTCACTCTTTTGAGGGCCCGGACAAGATTGAGGAGGACTTCCAAGCCCCCTGGAGCCAAGGCCAGAACCTTCTCAGGCTCAGCCTCACACTGGCTGGCTGCTTCATAGAGCGCTTCCACCACTCCAGCTGAGTGGTTGAGTGTGTCAAACTTGAGGAAGGCATCCTTGAGCTTCTGAAAGTCTCTCAGGATTACCCCCTGCAGGAAGTGGGCCTCGGCAATGCCAGGCAACTGGCTGGTTTGATAGCAGAGATCAAGTGCTTCTCTCAGAATGGCCTTGGTATGTTCTATGTCGGAATCCCTGGCCACGTTGAGGCGGGCAGCCCCGAGCAGACATGAGGCCTGGAAGTCCTTGTCGGCAGTGAGCCTGGCAGCCTCCAGGAGGCAGCCGTGTTGCTTCATCAACAGGGCAGCCTCTTCTCGTCGACCTTCCCTGTTCAGCAGGTCTGCAGCTTCTGCTATGCATTTCCGAGACTTCAGGAACACCAGCTGGTCTTCTATGTCTAGCTTTGAGAGGACAGCCATCATTTCTTTGATCTTATTTGCACTCAGGTACTTTGCTGCGGCTTCCAAGTAAAACTGACTGGCAGAATAGGAGAGCTTAGAAATGGGAAGGGTCTTGGTCTTTAGCATTTCTTCATATCTGCAAAGACAAAGGTTGCAAATGCCAACTTATTATCACCCAGTCAATACAAATTTCCTCCATACTAGCCAGCCACACACACACAAAATTCCCTCTAAAATATAGCACAGAGCAACTTGAATAAAATTCTCACATGTAGATATTGCAAAATAGGACCTAAATTTATCAAGCATTTGAACTTTTTATAAATGTTTCATTTTACCCTGTTATCAGTAAAATCATAATACATTCTTTTTCAAAAATATCAGGTATTAGTGTGCTTAATTGATGAAATATAGTAGAGTTGCAACTCAAACAAATGGGAGTTAAGTTTGAAAGTCAATCTATAGGGCAAAATTTATGCATAGTCAAAATTATCCTTGAAAAAAATCCCTTCAGCTTTCTTAAAAGCATTTCAGGTATAAAACCCTGTTCAGTTTGATTATGTGATTAACGATAAAGGATGAAATGGGTTGTATACACATCAGCAATTACATTAGTCTTCCCCTTATTATCCAGCTTGTGACCCTTCTCATTTGTATGTGGTTGGATTTGTGTGAGATTAATGAAGCTCTGAAGGACTCCCCTTTATCTTGCTGATCAAAGTCAGTATATACTGTTATATACATACTCATGACACACCCTTTATCTTCTTCAACCCCCTCTGTTCATGACACTGTGTCAGAGCTTATAAAGCTCTGGAATGGAATGGAAAACAGAGTCCTGCTCTCAAGGAGCTCCCAGCACCCAGGCCACTACTTAAGTGGAAGGAGGGCACATGGTCAAACCACCTCAGAAGCAGCATGATAACACCACCAAGGGCAAGCTGTCCCCACAGAGAGAGGGAGGAAGGAAGGGAGATAGGAGAGAATAAAACCACCTACTTTTCCACTGCAATAGCAGCTTCTTCAAAAAGCTCCTCTTGGCAGTACATTTTGAGAGCTAGATCAAACTCCTGAATCTGCTCAAAGCATCTGAAAGCATCCTTGTAGCACTGGCTTCGTTTATAGAAATAGGCAGCATCTCTTATCTAGGACAGAGTAGAATTTTACTTTTATTTAGAGTATGCACAACATAACCTTTTAATCTTAAAAATAAACTAATACCATGAATAAAAAACAAGATAGTCACATATCTGTTATTTGTTAGAATCCAGTTAAAAACACTAAAATGTAGATAATATTAAGAAAACTCATTCTTTATAGGGAGAAAAATAAAGTTAAATCCCAACCTCACATCATACACTAAGGTAAGCTCCAGGTGGATGAAAGATCTAAATGTGGAAACTATTGAAGGAAATGCATGAAAATATCTCTGTGACCTTGCAGTAAATAAAGGCCTCGACAAAACCCAAAACATACAAACTTCAGGAGAAAAACTGGTGGATTTGATTACACCAAACTGTTCAACAAAGGACACATGAAATAAAGTTAATAGGAACCAAATATTAACATCTACGTCTGCACTGTCCAACAGAAATTTCTGTAAAGGTGGAAATGTTCTATATCTGTGCTATCCAATCTGCTAGCCACTAGCCACATCAGAATATTGAGCCCTTGAAATGTAGGTAGTACAACCAGGAAATTTAATTGTTTTACTTTATTTTAATTAATTTAAATTTAAATAGCCACAAGTGGCTACTGACTACTGGACTGGACTGCAGGGGTGGGGGTGGGGGTTTCTGGAATATAAAAAAGATTCCTGCAACCATAAGAAAAAGACTTTCCTGGAAACACAACAGAAAACTAGGCAAGGGATATAAACTGACAGTTTGCAGTGGGGGAAACCTGAATGACTAACAAATAAATGAAAATGATCAACCTCACTAATAATCAAAGGAATGCAAATTAAAACCACAGTGAGATGTGGTTTGCAAAAATTAGAAAATCCGAATCTGCTGAAAATGTGGGGAACATGGAAACATCATGCACAAAATGGTATGACCATTTTAGAAAGCAAAGTGGACGTACTTATACTGAAATGAAGTCTATGCATATCCCTGGGGCCAGCAAACCTACTCCTAGCAATACATCTTGCAGAATGTCTGGCACAGGAATTTAAGGAGATGTGCTGTGTGTGGCAGCCAAAGTTAGCAGCAACCTGGACATTCATCACTAGGGAAGTGGGTAAATCAATGCAGAGAATGCCCACTCTGTAAAAACACCAGTGGTCAGAAACATGGCCAGATTTTAACACCATAGCAGCGGGTGGAAAAAGGAAAAAACAGAACAAGATGCCATTTAGATAAGCTGAAGTTATATATGTATAGAAGACACCACTATTTATTATTCAATAATGCATGCATTTGAAGACACATTAAATGTATTAGAATGGCTGACAATGAGAAGAGAATGGGAATGGAGACTGGCTGTGAAGAGGAAGAGGATGATTAAAATAAAATGCAATGGGGGTGGGTTTGTCATGAGTAGAAGAGTGTATTCAACTCCTCTTCTTCCCACACTTCCCATCCAGCCCATCAGCTAATCCTGTCAACTCCCAGGTATGACCCCATTCCACCATACTTACCACCAGTGTGGCAGAACAAGCCCCATCTTCTCAGCCTAAGCCGCTGCTAGACTCTCCTAACTGGCGTTTCTTCTCCTGCTCTTGCTGCCTTATAGACCTCTCAACAGAGCATCCATATAATTAGCTTCATGTCACTCCTCTAATGAAAACCTTCCACTGGATCCCCAACATGCTGTACACAGTCAGTCCTCACCATGACTGCCAGGCCCTACCTGGTCTGTTCCTGCCACCCTCTCCTTCACACCATACTCTGTCTGCCCTCCTCACTGTGCTCTCACCAAGCCGGCTTCCTGGCTGTTTTCCAAACTCACCAAAATGCTCTGACTTGGGGGTTTTTGCCTGTGAGGTTCTTGGCCTGTGATGCCATACAGCTGTTGTTCTCATAATTTATGCTCAAAAGTCAGCTCTCTGACCCCTCTGTCTAAAACAGCAACCCCTGACACCCTCTTTCCCCTTCCCATGCTTGACTCTTCTTAGCCCTTCGCCACTGACATCTTATATACTACCTGCTCACTTAGTTTTCTCTCTCTCACACTAGAACGGGAAGATCTGCAAAGGTGGAGGCCTCTGCTCTGTTACCTGCTGGTCATCCAGCACCCACAGTGCCTGGCACAGAAAAGGGGTCTACCTGTTTGTGGAATATTTAATTTCATAACTCTACTTGCTGCACCCAAGGTCCAAAGAGAAAAAAAATCAAAGTGAGACAAAATATATGTGCCAGGCCCTCTAAAAAAAATCTTAGCTGGGTGATACTTAATGAGACAAACTACACGAAGTGCTAAAATAAAAACAAGATTCAGGTGCAAGTTGCTTCCATGTCCAGAGACCTCACAGATCAGGGAGCTCCTAGACCAATCTCAGCTACATCATAAAACCCCATACCCGCTACATCTAACCACCCTGTCTCTTTTCCTCTCTTTGACAGTGATGATTACTCAGAAGAAAAATCCCTGTGTGTGAGTTAAGGTCCCATTAGGTGCCATTATGTGCCCAATTCAAGGGAGAGAGGAGAGGCGTGGCTCTAAGCAGCAGCTCCCCACTCTGGCCTCCTCTGCTCTGAGAGGACGCCCCACCTGCCATCCAGAGCAATGGCCTAGAGAGGTTTCCAGGGAAACCAAGCTGCTCTCCAGAGAGAGGTGGAAAGCAGGCAAGCTGCGGGAATCCCTGAAAGGAAATCTTATACACCCACAGCACCTGCACTAGCATTTCTTCCTAGGAGTAGCACACATTGGGGGCTGGGAACAAGCAGGTGATTTGCCCTGAGGATTCAGGCGAAGGTTGCTGCCAAGCTGCTCAGCTTGAACTTTGCCTGTCAATTTAGGTGATATGACCACAAGAAGTCTGACGCTGCCTAAGGGCTGAACACCCTTTTAGGGAGGGGCCTGAGTGAGGAAAGAAACCAGACTCTCCTACCTAGGGTTTAGAGCTGCCAGGATATACTGGTGAGAGAAGGTAAATGAAGCTGCATCTAGGGGCCAAGTCTGTGGAAGTGGAAGGAAAGAAGGAACACTGTGCTTCCAGGAGCAGGATGGCCTCCACATTTTGAAGGTGCTAAAGTCCTGGAGGAGGGAGCACGGGCTACACTTAGAAGGGATTCCTGGTCTCCCTCCACCCCACTTTCTGAGACATAGCTTGGTGGCCTAGGGGGACAGGGTGGGTAAGAGGACAAGGGGTCTCTGGCTCAGTCATGGCAGGCACTGGTAGGCAAAAAGGGGAAAGCAACAGACTTATCCCTGTCGCCTGTAGTCACTGATCAGGGTCCAAGTGGTGGCACTGAAAATTGGAGGGCAGGGGCTAAGGAACTTGGAGAGGTTAAAAACTGTTCTAGTTCCTGGAATCTAGGACCCAAACTTCCACCCACACTGAAACATCTTCTCCAGTATCCCTATTCCATACCCATCTCCCACATCCTACAAGTCACATCCCATAATAAGCATGCAGTAAGGTAGGTAGCATCAGGAGAGCCTTATCCTCTTTGAGACTATCTTGAGGTCACACTTCAAACTTCCTGCTAGGTCCTACTCCCACCCCTCCCAATGCACAGGGTGCTCTGAGGATCTGGAAACCCGCCTTCCTACTAGAGGGCCATAAAACCTGACATAGGAAGAAATGCAACAGCCTAGAGCCAGACACTCTCAAGCATGGCTTCTCCAACTCCCTGTAGTGAAGAGCCAGATTGTTTTATATTTCCAGTCCATTACAACTGATACATTAAAAATGAATCACTAAGAAAATGGTCACCACTTGGATGTCACAGCAATGCTGAATGGCTATAAAAGTTTCCAACTGCTTATTTTCATCTTCTATGATACTCTTGCTGTGGACAAATAACAGTCTGTGGCCAGCCTGCTGACCACTGTGAGTAACTGCGCTCTAGACTAGCAGCTATGTCCCAAAGAGCTTTCTGCAAGGATGGAAATGTTCTATAACAATGAGCACTTGCAATGTAGCTAGTGAGACTGAGAATGTGAATTTTTAATTTTATTACATTTTAATTAATTTAAAATTTAAATTAAAAAGCCACATGTGGCTGCTGGATTGGATAGTGCAGATCTAGAGTAATTACTGGGAACATAGGAAAACATCCATGTAAATGCCCGGCCACTCACTCAAGCCAATTCCACACTATGAACACAGAGAAAGAGAATGAAGTAATATTCTAAAACCTATCTGCCCTTTGGTTTGAACATTTGGTGCAAACCAAATGTAGTTGATATCAGGCCTTGAACATTAACACAGACATGGAGGTACACACACCCACACAGTCTTCAGAACCTTCTAGAAACTTGAGCAAGTAGAAAAAGAAAGGCTATCCTTCTAGTCAACAGGATAGCCACTTCCTCTTTGAAGGATTGGAGCCCCTTCCTGCCAAAAGCAGAGGTTGAGGGGCCTGCTCCACAGTCTGCTCAACTGAAGCCCAGTTCTCCCAGGAGCAGCCGTGGGCTGGGGGCCATACCTTGCCCAGCCTCTCACATAGCTGGGCAGAGAGCTGGAACTCCTTGGCGTAGCTCAGACACTTAAGGGACAGCTTTGGCTCATTGCACTCCAAATAGGTCTTAGCCAGTTCCAAATACTCCAACTGCTTTTCCCTGTGGGAATTGAAACAAAACAGTATTTCCATGGAATGTAGACCTAACATCAATATATTTAACCTGCTGCTCTCATCAGAGAAAACCTGAAGTGATCCTGAGACTTACTTGGGGCTGACTTTCTTGGATTTCATGTTCAGAGCAGTGTTGTGGGCCAGGGCCAATTTCTCCTTTTCAAAGGCACCTCCCTTTTGGTAACACTTGGCTGCAACCTGGAATAGGCAAAAGGTTTTGATTCCCAGCAAAGTAGTGGAGGTGACATACAGAACAAGAGTTAAAGCATGCATTATATGTTTGAACTGACAAAGCGTTGAGTCTTGCCCCAGCCCAATCTGAGAGGGAGCAGCAGAAAGGTGCAGGTCTGCTAAAGAAAGTAGCCTCAGAGGATAAAGCCCAATAATACCAGCTAACACTTCACACTCAAAGGTTCTTGGAAGTGCCCAGAAGCCATGGAAAAGGTACACAATATGCATTTTTACAAGCAACCATAAAACTCTTGTTTAATCTTCCAACAGCCACATGCAAGTGTCATCCTTCTCATTTTATATATGAGGGTACTTCAAAAAGTTCGTGGAAAAATGGAGTTAAAGGATTTATGAATCTTTCCATGAACTTTTTGAAGACTCCTCATAGTAGCAACCTCAGGTCAGAGCCATGGAACAATTGGCCCAAAGTCATCCAGTGGTTTTCCTGGGCTTTGACAAAGTTGGTAACTACAACGGCTACATTGCAGTGCTGGTAGAACAGCCACAGTACACGTACTGGGGATAGAAATAGGGACAGAGATGGTGTCACAACACATCCAGATCCTTGGGGCATGCAGATCTGTGTCACCCAACCTTCTGACTATAAGGTGGGCAGACAAGTGTCACAGGGGAGTCAGCCTGAACCCCAATCCTTGCCAGCTGAAAGCTGCTTTTCTAAAACAGGAATGCTGACACCATGTCTCAAAGCACAGGCTGCAAAGGCAGAAAGTTCACATTCTGCCAGCATGCAGATATTAGGTCTCAGTGCGGGCAAGGGAGGAACTACGTGGCACCTGTTGATCAAGTGGACTGATGGCCAATGTCCCCCTCATACTCTTTGCTCCATCCTTCCCCTATGGGCCTCCTTCCTTTCCCGTTACCTATGCCACTCTCCTTCCCACCTCAGGGCCTTTGCACACACTGTTCCTTCTAACTGAAATGCTCTTCCATCCTTTCTCTGCCTGGTTAGTTCTACAGGTCAATCATTCTATAGGTCTCAGCTCAAGCCTCCCTTGCTCAAAGAAGGCTTCTCTGGCCTCCCTATCCAGGACAGTTGGTTCTGGGAGCAGCTGGTCTCTCATCTGTGACACCTGCAACAGCTGGAACTGTGCACTCATCTATGTGCCTGTTTTGCTCACCATCATGTCCCTGGGATCTAAACATAATGCTTGGCCCATAGCTCAGCAGGTATTTGTTGAATGAATGAATCTTGTATGGTGGTTCCGAAACATTCATTGACATGCAGCCAAAAAGTCATTAAACCACCTGAGTCTTGAAGTCCTTTAGCAGGGTCAAAATAATGTCTGGCGAGGAGGAGGCTTTTTATAACATTCTCATCTGTGTTGGCTCCCCTAAAAAGATTTTAGATTCAAACATTCAAAAGGTATTTTTAAAGGGATAAATAATTGGAAAGCCATGGGCAACACACATGGGTAACATCAACAGTGTTCTAAAGGGAATAAAAGGCAAGATTTTATATAGTTTTCCAATTTCATACCCATACCTGCTGCCCATATTATACCTCCCTTCCCTCCCTATCACCCACACCCAACCCTGCCAAAAAAGAATTCTTGATTTTACAACAGCCAAATGATTAGTATTTCTTTCCAATTTTGACAAGGACTTTATTATATAATAAATTTTGGGGCTCTGTCAACTTCTGTAGCTAAATGTCACATATTTATGAAAATACTCTCCAGACATACCAAACCTACAATAGTACAAAGTCTGTTTTTCTTACCCCATACAATAGACTGCTAAGGGTGGCCACAGTCCTTCACTCCTCTTTGTATCTATCCACACCCGTTTACAGTGTAACTTTCCAGTTTGTCCCATCAAGAGTGCTGCCTATTTCCCCTCCCTTCAATCTGGGCTGCAACTTGCTTTGGCCAACAGGATATAGCAGAAGTGACCCTAGGCCAGTTCCTAAGCCAGGCCTCAGGGCCCCTGTGTGCTTCTGTTCACTCTCTTTGAACCTTGCTCAGGCATCATGTGAACAAGCCCAGACTAGCCTGCTGGAGGGTGAAGGACACATGATCCAGGAACCCCAGTCACCCCATCACCTAAGCCAAGAGCCAGCCAACCCCCAGAAGCAAACTTGCCTAGCTGACTAGCAACTGAATGCAGACACGTGAGTTGCCCAGCTAAGACCAGAAGAACTACTCAGCTGAACTCAGCATTGCCAACCCACAGAACTGTGAGCTACATAAATGACTTATTTAAAGCTACTAAGTTTTGAAGTTGTTTGTTAAGCAGCAACAGGTAATGATAAACCACAGATGTGAGCTGTAGACCTAAACCATTTTCCCTGCCACAGTAGACAGAACTCAGAAAAGAACTGGGAAGCTCTGGGCATTCCTTCTCCAGGCACGTCAGAGCACAGACACCTCACACTGTGGCTTCAGTTAAGTTCTGACTTGTGGTTTCACTGCACTCATCGCTTCCCATGACTTTCATTCAGGCCCACTCCATGCAATTCCAATGAGAAGAAGGGTAATTAGAGCAGGAGCACAAGCTCTCCAGAGAAATCACTGTCTCAAAACATTTGTTCAGAAGTGACAAGAGAAACTGCAGACACGTTTACTGTAAGGTTTGAAGAGCTGGACCCTCCTAATATGAACACTGAAACATAGAAAGAGAAGAAAGTGATACGTCCAAAAAGTGATGGAAAGGCGAAGAAAAAAAGAAGAAAGTGATCTGTCCAAAACTGAGCTCCAGTTCTTTTCAGAAGCATCACATGCAGCTGCACACACAGGCTCTCCGGTTACCCTGGGAAGTCAAATCTTAAAGAAATGTGCATTTTTGTGTGGTCATGCCTGTGGAGGCAGACACTGTTTGTTAGTTACACCCAGCACTCTCTCCTCTCTTTCTTGTCTGATGGCAGAACTTGCCTCCCATAAAGGGCTAAAATTGCCAGACAGGATTGCTCTCCAGACTCCCTTGCAGCTATGAGGGGGCTTGTGAGCTAGTACTGACAAATGAGATTTAAGAGGAAGTCCACTGGGGACCTCATGACAAAAAACAGATCCATGAGAGAAAGTGCCTGCCCTTCACTCCTGCTTGGGATGCTGCTGAGGGAAGTGTGGTGCTAGGAGCTGCTGCAGTAGCCATTATGCAACCATGAAGGGGAAGATCTCTAACAGGCTGCAGATGATACAATTAAGAGATGGAATGAGACTGGAGCCATGGTGATATTGTTGAGCTGCAGAATCCTAAGACCAGACTTCTTGCAATTGGACTAAAAACAAAACAAAACAAAAACACTCTTTTAGTAGGGTGTTTGGGACTTGCAGGTGAAGACATTATGACTACTACCTCATGGAGGGCACACATGCCATGGTCATGGTGCCCCACCAGAGACCTTGTGATGTGTGGGGATACTGCCTGTGGGGAAAGCAATGGGGCCCTTTAATCTGGTTTCAACATTTCAAGAGGTCTACTCCAGAGATAACATCTCCAGGAAGACTGCTCAGGCTCACTAAGATGGCTTGTAGCTGCAAATCAGTCAGTGTAGTCAAGTGATAAAGCTTAACCTACACTCACCAGACTCAGACTGGCAGTGAAGTCTATGTCTGATCAATTTGATAAAACAAACCAGAGACCAATCTGTTACTGTGTTAAGATGCAGTATGATGACAGCAAAAGCTTGTAAGCGTAGAGTGCAGGAGTGAAAAAAATAAATAGACAAATTCTGTGTTGGGGTGAAGGCCATGACCCTTCATATACCTATCTGCACATGCTGGCACTTGTCCAGAATGAAGCATTGTCATACCTACATTGACTGGGGAAGGAGCAGGACAGGGAGCTCTCCTCATTTTGGGATGACTTAGTGTTGCAGAAGAAGTGGCACAAGCACCATTACCCTCAACCTTTTCTGGTGACAAATGTGATGGTGGGAAATCTGCCTGTGAGGCCTAAAGAGGCCATAGATCACAAAGACCCCTCATCCCTTGACTCCCAGTCCATCCCATTACCTTCCAGCACTGGTGCTTGGCGTAGTATTCTCCTTGTGCAATCCACTCCTCAGGAGTTGAGGTCTTAACAAACATGCTATCATCAAAGTCTAAAATGAAAAAGAAAAGCAGGTTACTTCTCTGGGCATTCATTCATCTAAGCCTGTTGTTATGGGCTGAATTGTGTCCTCCCAAAATTTATTTGTTGAAGTCCTAACCTCCAGTACATTGGAATGTAACCATATTTGGAGATACGGCCTTTAAAGAAGTAAGTTAAAATGGGGCCCTGAGGGTGGGCGCTAAACCAATCTCACCGGTGTCCTTATAAGGAGAGGAAATTTGGACACACAGAGAGACACCAGAGGCAAGTGAGCATAAAGGAATGACCATGTGAAGACACAGCTACAGAGCCATCTGCAAGCCAAGGAGAGGTCTCAGGAGAAACCAAACCTGCCAATATCTTGATCTCGGACTTCTAACCTCCAGAACTGTGAGAAAATACATTTGTTTCTTAAGCCATCCAGTCTGTGATATTTTGTTGTGGCAGCCACAGCAGACTAATACACATGAGTTGCCTTTCTAGTATTCACTTAAGATATGTTTTAGCTTACGAAGCAAGGTTGATGTGGGTATTGAAGGAAGAGGTGGAGGTAAGAAAGGATTTGGTTTGGTTTTTGAATTTTGATCTACTTACCTTTTCTATGGCTATGAACCAGAAAACAGATAGCGATTACTAACTCCTCCTTGAAAATCCAAAGCCAAGTGGCCCTAAGGAAGCTCCCAAGGCAGAGCTTCAACAAGGATCAAGGTGAAAGGATTTTACAGTATTTCCTAATGTGCAGAATTTGTCCTCAAACAGTGAGCAATGTGACACATTCCCATTGGTGGACACAGACTATTGCAGCCACCTGCTATTGTCCCTTCTGTTGTCCTCAACAGCCTGCTGGTGTCTGTATCAGCCCTCCCATACTGCAACCTCCAGAGCATCACCAGCAATGGGCAATAATCCCTGCAGGTTCTGAGCCACAGCTTCACGAAGCACATGAAAGGCAGCGAATACCATGATACTGCTGATGGCCAAATCAGAGCTGAAAAGACAGAGATGCCCAGGCCAATGGATATCAACTGGGGGAACAAGGCAGACATACCAGATTTGTTCAGAAGGTGAAAAAACAGATACTAAGCCTCACAGTTTGACACCTCCCAGCTCTTCCTCTGCTAGTGCCCTGTAGCACTGTGCCGTGATGACATTGCAGCATCTTGCTCTGACTCCATGTGCACTGTTAGTGCCCTGGTGACATTTTATTCCCACAGCAAAAACATATATAATCTCTGAACAGGGCCAGTGAACCCTGCAGGTACCATGTTAAGGAAACCCAAATTGCACAGTCACTGCACCCATCCCAAGTTCCCTTGCACAGCGGAAACAGATTGTGCTCTGAAAGACTTTACCATGTGCAACTTATAACTCATCATTAAGACTGCACTTTTTCTTGCATTCCTAATGCCACCAAGACACAAAATAAATTATAATCCTTTTTCACTTAGAATTTTTAAATTTTAAAAATTGTCTATCTTGGTGGTCTTTTATACTGGGTGCCAGAACATATTTTGGGAATAAAAGAGGAATAAGAGGGGTATGTGGGAAAGACTGAAAACAATCACCCACTTGTGTTCCTTTTAGTTGAGGAAGTAAAGGCCCAGGGAGAGAAAGCGGGACCTGAACAAGGTCATGTGGCTACACACTTGGAGAGTTTTCATGAGAAGCCAGGTTTTTTAACTCCAAGCCTTTGATTTTTCCCATCACACACCACAATAGTCAGGTCCTAGGAATAGAACATCTAATCCTGGTCCCCAACCAAGACATCAGCAATAACCAGAAACAGCCTCCATAAAACAGGCTGGGAAATGCTCAGGAAACCAGCAAACCTCTCTATAGCAGCCAAGCCCTGCTCCTTCCCCTACCCTTAGAGAAATTAACCACGGCCTAGAGGAGCCATCTCAATAACTAACCCTCAAGAAAGACAACAATTTTCTCCTTCGCGAAAGGCTAATTACTTCTCTTCTCAGTTATCCTATCAGGAGATGTTCACTTCATTTTTTAATTAGCTAGTCTTTGTAAATTGTAAAAATAATACATGATAATGGTTTGGGTTTATTAAACCCTACAAACAGCACAGAAGGGCATAAAGGTGAAAAGTAAAAGGTCTCCACATTCTCTGAAAAACCCCATGCCCACCAGTCCTAGAACCAGAGGTCTATAAACGCTTTTGTATCAGAAATGATAGGTGTATACATGTATATATATGCATGTTCTCCCTCCAAACTTTTGCTATTTAAACCTCTGTTACCATAATCAGGAACTGAATAGATACAGATAAATTTTCTGATGGATCCCTTACTATCTGAACTTCTGGTACATGTTTATGAAATTCAGGAACCAAATAGATTCAGACAACCCCATTGACCCTCACTATCTGAACTCTCACAAACCTAATTTTTGATATACTCACTCAGAAACTGAATTAGGCTTAGTAGTTAAAGACACTTAGGTAGGTGTTTGTATATACACACATACAGACATACACATGCATAAACATTCCATTTTAATATATATTGATATACATGTACAGTTTTTATATTTGCATAATATAGTTATTTACAAATTGGATCATTCTATCCATACTGCTTTAAATTTTGCCTTTTTAAAATCTAATACATCTTGAACATCTTCCCATATCAGTATATAGCAGTCCATGTTACTCTTTTTAATGGCTGAATAATATTCCACTGAAAGAAATGCATTTAACCTTTCTCCCACTGGTAGATGTTTTTAGTTTCTTGTAATATAAACAGGGCTGTGATGAGCATCTTTGCACAAGTATCTTTGAAATTCTGAACAAGAATATCTCAGGTAGATTCCTAGAAGTGGAACTGCTGGGTCAAAAGGTATGTGCAATCTTTATTTTGACAGATATTCCAATCAGCTGTCCAAAAGCTCATAGCAATTTGTATTCTCACAAGAGGGCCTATTTCCTCTAATCCTTGTCCATGACCCTCACTTTTAAAGGACAAATAAAAGATCTCCCCTGAAGGAGTTAACCCTCCCAATCCCACTATAACTCCACTTTCCCATACACCTTCGCAAATGAATACGTACTTTCATTTCTCAGATTTGGAAAGGAAAGTGCTTTCAAAAACTCTACCCTTTATACCTGACCATAAAAACAGTTGAGAAAAACATGCTTCCTCCAACAGTGAGAATATTTTAATGAGATTTTACCTTTGTTTTCATCTGTCTTCACCACTTGGACAAAATCTCCTCTAATGAAATATTTGAAAGCAGGAGCCCGTTTCTCTCGGTTTTCATCAAAGATCCAGAGGTTGACCCGAGCCCGTGTGATGGCAGTGTACAGCTGCTTCAGCTCTCCATTGAGAAGCTAAAGATAAGATTGAGGGCAAAGATGATGAGCTTTTTGTCTATAGCTACAATATGACACACTTCAATGGGCTTATTCTGATTTTTAAAAAATAAACAGATTTTAGAGAAGTCTACCACAGCCGTGAGCAGAACACCAGGAGCTCAGTGTGGCCACAGCACGGACAAGCGTGGCTCTAGTGAGACTATGAGAAACTCCACCCCTTTCTCACCTAAAGAGGTAAGTGAGCTCACCATTACTATAGGATGACCCTTAAATCTGCTATAATTTTTTTTTAAGTTTTAATTTTGAAATAATTCTAGATTCACCAGAAGTTACAAAGATTGTACAGATAGGTCCTGTGTACCTTTCATTCAGTTTATCCCAATGGTTATATGTCACACAATTGCTGTGATTTATTTTTAGATAAACCAGTCATACACTTCCATTACAACTATCATTAGTACTAAATTACTCAAGACCTACCCTTTGACTGCACCAAAATTTCTGAACAGAGCTGAGTTCCAGAGATGAATAGAAGGGACAAGCCTCCCCCTTCCACTTTCAAACAGTGTCCCACCCATCAAGCCCAGCTCTCTGCTGGGAAAAAGGGAGTTTGCCAACAATGAGGTACCTGCCCCTCCCTTTCCCATCTCCCACACCCATTTGTTGATGTACAAGAGGACCAGTCAAGTGCAAAACTCCATTTTTCATCTCATCTTCTCTTCCAGGCCTTCCATGTCCACTGGTTCCACGTCAAATAAGTGTGCGGACACATGGCAGAAATTCACCTTGTACATTTCTGGATTCACCATGAGAGACCGACCCTGAGAAGAGCTTGGCTTCTCCAGGGGCACTTCAACCAATGGCCAGGTATCCTCTCTGGAGTCAGATGATGAAGGTGTGAATGAAGAGATGATCTTCCATTCTTTATAAGCCTAAGCGATGACAAATTAAAGACCAACAGAATATGCTTTTGAACTGTACATACAGCCTCCCTGAGCTTCATGGGGAATTGAGTCCCACCAGGGGCCAGGTCTTCAACCCTAGCTGTGAGAAGGGGTCTGTCCTGTGGCCTTAGAATGGATGGGAGGGGGCTAAGGTTGCACAGGCAGGAATCAGGGAAACTACCATGAAAATTCCCCAGACACTTGGCCAAGACAACTGAGAAGCCAGGCATATGTGCCTACTTCCAGGAGGAAAGCTCAGGACCCAGGATGTTATTCTCTTTCAACAAACAGTATGGACAGAGAAATCCTCACCCCTTCTCATAACAAGAGATGCCACTTAGGGTCAGCAGTTAAGACATGTGTGGCAGAATTTTCTAACTAAATTGTTCAACCAAGCATGGAAGAAAATGTAGGTACTGTGGGGTACACTGTGAAAGGTAGACTCTGAGATCAGACAGAACAAATTAATATCTCAATTCTTCTGCTCATTAACTATGTAACCTTGGACATATTGTTTATTCTCCTGCTTTGTAAAATGGGGATAACAGAACTATCCAAGATTGTTGAGAAAATAAAAGGAGATAATCAGAATCAAGTGTCTGGTACAACACTTGATAAGCAGTTGGTATTTTACCCATTTTTTTCTATTATCTAAGCCCCAAAACCAAGGTGACTTTATAGACCAGGGGTTGGCACATTTTTTTCTCTAAAGGGTCAGATAATAAATGTTTCTGGCTTTGCAAGTCACTTGCTCTCTCTTGTAACTACTCAACTTTGCTGTTGTAGTGCTAAACCAGCCTCAGTCACCATATAAATAAATGAATGTGCTATGTTGCAATAAAACTTTATTGTGGACACTAAACTGAATTTCATATAATTTTCACGTGACACAGAATTTATTCTCCTTTGGGTTTTTCCCCTAACCATTTAAAAATGTAAAAACCAATCTTAATTCACAGGTTGTACAACAACAGGCAGTGAGCTGGACCTGGCCAGCAGGCTGTGGTTTGCAGACTCCAGTAAAACTGAAGTGCCCAGATTACATACAGTATATAGAATCCAAAACTCCTAAGAAATTTCAGATTTCATACTTTACTGTGCCTTGTGAGAGTAGCTAATTAATAACCCTCCTTGCCTTTACTTTTCTTATAAGATGGTACTATTTGCCATCCATGTAACTTTTCAAGGATGCTGAAAAGATGACATGGATACAGTTCACTACCTGCTTTAAATTACCCCATAACTTAAACTATGTAAATCAGGTTAAATGCCTTAAACGCTGTCTATTAAATAGGAATGATTATGTTGCTAATCAATTATGGAATTAATCGCCATGTTCTGAAAAGAGATGTTAATCATGAAATTATTAATTATTTAAATAGTTAGAAGGTTTAAAAAAATTTAAGACAAATTTATGACTATCTTCTTTGTGAAGCTATTTTGATGACAAAATTATTTGCCAAGGAAAGCAGGGAAAAGATACAAGTACTTGACATTTGAGAGGATTCTCCTGGCAAGCAGCGTGAGCTGCAGACTGGCTGACCTTGAAAGGGCTGGGGAAGCACAATGTATTTTAAAACTGCTGGAAGAGAAGCAAAAGCTGCTCAGATGGCATAGGACTGACCTGTTTTCATGAATCAACCATGTTTTACTTTCAAGATAGAGCCTTTAAGGAGTACGTACATTTACAGCAAGGATACAGGCCTGCAACACTTGTGGCAATAAAAGAAGCAGCATTTAAAGTCTTTCAGATTCTTCTCTTGGAACCCATAACTGTGAAGGAAAAGGCTTGGATTCTACTAGCAAGCCTACCTTTGAGGGGCCTATTCTCTAAGTCAGTTAGACAACCCATAAAAGTTGTTTACAAAGTCCCTCCTGTCTCATTCACACATGAGTGTAAAGAAAGGACTTCTCACTGAGCAGAATGTAAATGGCAGTCACCTTTCCAAGTCTCCAAAGAGGACAGTTTGGGGTTGACTAGGAGAATGACCACCCCTCCCACAAAGATGAGGCAAATCCTGCAAGAGAAGGGTTTGATGGAACCATCCCTTGGTTCCTTCCCCATCTCAGAAGATAGCCCTGGTGCCCATGTGGTTGAACAGGTAACGACAAATCCTCTAGAGAGAAGAATCACAAACCAGGGCAACAAGGACTCCCTTGCATCCTCCTCACCTGTACCTACACCCATGCCCAGGTAACAGGTGCTGCAAAAAGAGTACCTGCCTGGAACATAAAGAGGGGGTAGAAGAAGAGGCCATGGAAGGAGGGAGAAGCTCTCCAGTTTCCCATGTCAAATAGCAATTACTGTGCAGCAGCCTTCAACCAGTCACCTCGAAAGAAACCCCACACAAGTAGCCAGACCACGTAAGGCTGGGGACATATGTGATCTGTCTTTCCTTTTATTAAAGCATTTCCTCTCATTTGCTTTTGGTCTGGAGGTTGTAAATGATAAACTCAGGGTGTACTTTGTACCAGGGAATGCATGATTACACCAACACTGGGAAGCAACAATTTTTTTTAGAAGTCTTATTGTATACATAGGATGAAGCAGATGTTACCAAAAAATTCAGTTTGGGATGGTTTTAATTTCGTGCAATTCATTGAGCCAGTGGTGGGGGCCTAGGGTCAAGACACTCAAATCTTTGTCATTTCCAGGATCAAAATGAGACAGAACAACTGGATTTTTCTTTCACAAACAAAGGTAACCACGAGTTGCCAATCCTTAAGTCCAGACCTTCTTGAGCTTCTTACTGGCACAAGCATACAACTAGCATTTAATAAAAGACAAGAACAAAGTCTTACCACTTCTCTTTTAGGAGAGCCCCAGTCTCACCAAGACCAATGGACGTATTATTAGAAAAACAAGTTAGTCTTCAGAAATCAAAAATAGTTCCAGGGTTAATGAGTATGCATCTGATTTTATTAGCAAAATTCAATAGAAAAGGAACGTATACTCATTGCAGAAGGTTCTGGAAGTCAATTTGCATGCAAGGATTTAAAAGGAAAAGATTACAATGAAAAGAGATTTAGAACTCAAAGCATCTGAGTTTGTCTCTGGACTCTGCCACCTGTGATGACTACAGGCAATTTTCTTAACCTCAATGACCTTCGTCTTTATCTACAGAAGGAGGATAATAAAAATACATATAACCTCAGAGGGTTGATGGAGTGACACAATGCATTCAAAAAATACTTTATAAATTATAAAGCACCCATAGCAATATTAGTTGTAGGTATTATTAAGGCAAACATGACATTAAAACGTGAAGAATCTATTTAAAAGGGTCAGCTCTGGGGCAGATTTTAAAGTGCCAAAGTCAACAGTGTTCCTGACTTAGGTATAAAACAGCCCCTTCAAGCATGCACCATGTGCAATGGGAAGTCTGCAAAAGGGACCAGGAAACAGCCAGCTAAGTCCCCAAAGAAGACCCCACAGCACAGTCAGCAGCCAGCCTGAGTCCCAACCAAAAGACGGTAGTGAATACAATAATACAATCTGGCACAAGAACTCAGGAGCCAAGTCAAAGCAATGGGCTGACACAGAGGTCTGGGGGATCAACCCAGAGACTCCTTTCTGCCACTGTCTGCATGGGCTGCAAGCAGTGGTAGTGAAGCCATGCCATAAGGGGGCTCCCAGGCAAGGCAGCTGTTCTCATCCCCCACATTACCTGATCCAGTGGGCAGGAACCAAGCCTCATTTGTCTTCCCGGAGTTGTCTCTTTCTATGAACTGACCTTGCCCAGTCTGTCCTCACAGGGTGGACATTGCTAACCTTGCCATCACTTGTAAGGCTCTCCTTAGAGCTTGCTCCAAGTTAGGCATCCCTGGGAGCCAAGGAGAACAGTAGCTAATGAAAACTGGAAACTGGCAGTTGAGTACTAGGCATTCAGAAGACGACGAATACTAGAGAACCAAGGAAGGGCAGGGCACAGGAAAAACCAGCCCATTACATACTATGAAACAACCCACAGCCATTGTGAAAACCCACATCTAAACACACAAACCCCACACTAAATGCATGATGCTCCAAATCACAAACAGGTGCCTGTGACAAACTCTCTTAACCTTAACTCCAAATTCTCTTTCCCAGAATGGAAGATCAGCTCATCAGCTCCTGTGTCACTTAACAATGGGGATGCGTTCTGAGAAACACATCATTAGACAATTTCATCATTCTGTGAATATCATAGATCATATGTACGCAAGCCTAGATAGTACAGCCTACTACACACTTAGCCTATTGCTCCAACCACCGTCTATATGCATTCAGTCACTGACCAAAGTGTCATTGAGCAGCACATGTTTATACATGCACTGTGTGGAAAGAATTGCTTATGACATACCTCGGAATCAGTAAAAAAGTTGTAAAGGAGTACATCATCAAATTCTAAGCCTTTTGCTTCATAAACTGTTAGCACAAGTGCTAAACCAAGCTCTTCTGGAATTTTCTCCTTTGCCATTTCATTGGCTACAAGGATTACCTGAAGAAAAACAAAAGAACATCAAATTCTACAAAGAAAACCCTGGTAAAGCTCAGCCCATTTCTCTGAGAGGCAGGTAATGTCTTTAAAGATAATGGCCAGCATGGACTTGGTCAGCTGAGCCAGTGGAAATATTAAAACAGAAATATTAAAACAATCAGTCACTCACTCATGTCTGGAACTCACCCATTCTGGGACAGGAGCTACTGAGTTTGGGTGGAATAATTCAGTTTCTCAAACCTTTTTTCAACTGCAAACTGCCTTTTATTTCAAAACATATAATCCCCAAAAGCTCACCTGGTGGGCTCCAAATTCAATGGGCTGGGTTTTCCTTTTGTTCCCTCGTAGCAAAATTGCCAAGTCGCTTACACTACAAGACTCTAGGACAGTTGGCTTGGGACCATCAAAGAGGCCAGAATCCCTTGGAAGGCGATCAAAAGATTCCGGGAAATAGAACTGAAGTAAGTCTACCACTCCAGATGCCAGATTGAGAATTCCTGAGTAAAACAGAAAACACATCAGATATTGTACAACATAGCAACATGGCTGAGTTTTCTGGTTACTTGGCAGGGGGATTTGTCTGAGAAGCAGTATTGGCCCTGACAGTATGTATAACAGCAATCCTATTTCCAGTTCCCATTTGATTATCACTGTGGCCCTGATCCATACTACTCTGGGTGCAGTATATGAAGGGAGAGAAGTGTTACTGTGCTGACAGGGTTTTGTGGGATCTCATTCCCAACCTATATTCATTTTAGAGAAAATTACCTCATTAAGAAGAGTCAAGACAGAGATGCAATGCAAACAATTAGAGCTGTTAGAATGCTCATACAAAGGCCTAGTATAGACTCTGGTAAGAAAACAAAAATTATCCTGTCCCCTCTCACTGGTGCTTAGAGCACTGGAAGCAGTGTTACCATGGTAACAGCAGTGCTGGATGTTAGCAGGGGACAGCAATCAAGGCCTGCATCACCCTTTTCCACCAGGTTTGTACCTGGCTGAGAGGACAACACTAAGAAAAATTGTCAGAGCAGGAGAAAGGATTTTCCAAAGAGCTTTCTCCCTGGGTCCTATTTCTTGTCTAAGTACTGAAGTGACATTGACAGAGACACTGACTGAATGCCTACCATACAATAGGCATCTTCATAAAACTTATCCCATGTAATCCTCACAACAACCGAATGAGACAGATGAAGCAATCGCACTTTTACAAACAGGGACTCAGAGGTCTGAAAAGTTAATGAACACCTCCAAGTGATGGGATCTGAAGCTGGATTGAATACAGATCTTCCTGGGCCTCTCCACCACTCTTAACATGCTATATGCCCTTTGTCTAAAATCAGATAGAATACAATGGTCTAAATAGAACACCATGAAATGGGCATATGTATCCATATGTGTCCATCAGTATTACCAAGTAGTAAAGGTAAACTTTACTATCCAATACTACTATTATTAAAAATATACAATATAAAGCAATTATGAGTGCGAGTGGAAACTGCTGAATCTAAGCAAATCAGTTGCTACTGTGGTTCCCTCCCCATTAAGAGCTAGCAAGAGTCAAAGATTTATATTACAGGAGAATCAGAAAAGGGCATGAAAGTGTTCATGACGGGGAAAAACTTGTATCCACTTAAATGTCCTTCTAGGGAACTAGATAAGTAATTTTCGATATAACCAAATCCAAAGAATAAAACACAGTTCAACCATAAAAAGGAATTATGTACTGATACATGCTATAACATGAATATAAACCTTGAAAACATTATGTTAAGTGAAAGAAACCAGACACATAAGACCACGTATTGCATGTTTCCAATTACATGAAGTGCCCACCATAGGCAAATCCATAGAAACAGAAAGATGAGTTGCTGCCACAGAGTGGAAGGAGGTGGGCAATGAGGAGTGAATGCCATGGTTGTGGGGTTTTTGGGGGGGTGATAAAAATACTCTGGAATTAGATCGTGGTGATGGTTGCACAACCTTGTCAATATATTAAAAACTACTAAATCGCACATTTCAAATGGGTGAATGTTATGCTATGTGAATCACAATCTAAAAAAATAAAAGAATAAAAGGTGGGAGAAATAGTCACCAAAGACAGTAAATATTCACTACATAACAATAAACATGTGTGTGATATGCATATACTGTATGTGTAAAGAAAAAATACCAGAAGGAAATTAAATAAAATGTTGAGTTTTTAAAAACATTTTATGTGTTTTCTAAAGTCTTTAAAATCTACTAGATAATATTTGGGCTTTTTCTGGTTCTACAAACAGAAGTGTACACACACAGTCTTCCCTCCATCTCAAGAGGGGAGGTAGGAGATGGAGTTTGTGTAATAATCATCTGAATAGGTTTTCACAGTACATTATCAGAAAAGAGAAATAACTCCCTTTGCCATGCTCTACCACAGGAATAACTCCCTTTGCCATGTTCTATCCTGCTGGCCCCCAGACCAGTAGCTCTGAACCGTTACACATCAGGACGAGGAGCACATTCAAACTACTCATGCTGGCTCCTCTTTACTGGATCCAATCATGAAAAAGAGGGTGCCATCAGGAGCTACTCTCTGAGGACAGAGAAACGTGAGCTGTGTTTCTTGGTCACCCACTCCCCACACAGTGCCAGGCAGGGTGGGAGCTTACTAAATGTTTCCTGAATGGATGAAGGAAGGCAAGGGCTAATTTTTCCTATTAAAAGTATAAATTTCTTTGTGTCAGCTCTTCCTACGCAACACAATTCTCAGGTATAAAACAATTGATGAGCAAGAAGATGAGCTTCTCAGATCTAGCCAGATCCTGTGATTCACAGGCAACATCAGTTAGGACTTCAAGAGCCCTGAAAACTGGGCTAAGATGTGTCATATATGCCACGTGCTGGAAGGTCCACCTGGCTTCTAATTGTTTTCTGAATCTTTGGCTAAACAAATAGGAATTTTATTCTACTTTTACAATGTGTGCGTGTATGTGTGTGTGTGTGTGTGTGTCCATGTATGAGTGTGTATGTATATGTGTGGGGTGTGTGCATATTTTCTCTTTCCACCAAGCCTTAGCCTACCTGAGATGCATTTAGAAAAAGAGCATCTGTCAAAAACCTACAATAAGGTTGGCTCTCTGTACTGGCCACTCACCAAAAACACAAAACCCTACAATAAGCATCAGACTTAAATGATAAAATGTTAGAAATATTCCCATTAACTTCAGGAATAACACATGCCCACTTGTTACCGCTTCTGCTTAAGGTCCTAACCAAAGAAATATACTAGGAAAAAGAAATAATGGGTATAAAAAAGAAGATAAAACTGCCTTATTTGCAGAAAAATCCCAAAATCTAAAGGAAGTAAGACTGTTCAGCAAGATTGCTAGATACCAGATCAACACACAAGAACCAAGAAGATTCCTCTATACCAGGAACAACTGATTAGAAAATGTAAAAAAGAAAAAATGATAGCAACAAAAAGTAGGTACTTAGAAATAAATCCGTTAGCTGTGTAAAATGTCCAGGGAAAATTATAAAATATTCTTAAAGGCTGTAGAAGAAGACCTGAATAGAGAAATATGCCAAAGTCATAGTTCAGAAAACCCAATAATATAAAGATGTGAATTCTTCCCAAAGAACCACATATTCAATAAAATTTCAATCAAAATTATGAAAGAGTCATTGGAGAAGTTTGATAACTACAGTAAAGAAAACTATCACAATAGCACGCACACACAAAAAAACCAGACAAATAAGACAAATCAAATCAAACAGCGAACCTAGAAACAGACTCACAGATACATGAGAAAAGCATTACGAATCAGGGGAAAGGACAAACTATGACGTGAAAGGTGTCAGCACAACTGATTACCCATATGGAAAAAGGTAACATTAGATCACAAAAAGTTATTTCAATAAAGACAATGTCACACCACATACACATTTTAGATTAAATTTACCTAAATTGAAATACCTACCTAAATGCCAAAAGCAAAATTGTAATCTATTAGCAGACTATATAGGAGAGTACCTTAATAACCCCAGGTCAGAAAGAATTTCTTAAGACACAAAAGACCAAAACTTATAAGAAAAGATTCATAAGTTAAAATATAAAGTATTTGCCCCACTAAAGAGCACCATTAACAAAGATAAAAAGATAAGCCAACACAGTGAGAGAAGAATCTACAATATCTAAAATCAACAAAGTATGTGAAGGCAAAATCCATAAAGAATTCTTAGAAATCAGTAAGAGTCTTCCGGTCAAGATGGCAGAATAGATGGTCCCCAGCATCACTCTCTCCCATAAAGCAACCAATTTACAACTACAAAAAAGCAATGGCAGCCAAGCTGGGGCTGCTAGAGCTCAGGGGAAGAGGAATAGAGACCTACTGAGTGCATGAAGGCAGGAGAAGCCACGATGAGAGAAAGAAAAAAACACTATGACCATTTCGAGCCCTGGCTGCTTCCAGGCTGGAGCTGCTGAGTGCATGGAGCACAGAGCAGGAGCCGGCAAAAGCTGCAGCTGTGCCCTTTGGATGAAGTTGCTTGGAGGCGGCAGGGGAGAAAGGGCCTTGGTGGCTCCCGGGACAGCAAGACTACTAATAGAGTTTCCATGAACCCATAAAGGAATGAGGATCCACAACAACTGAAAAAAAAAGGAACCACTCAGAGGCTGGTGAGTCATTGCAAAGGACCAAAGCACAGCCCATTCCATGGGAAGTGTTTGGAGCATGGGTGGTGGGGGAGACATGCCCACAGGGAGAACACTGGGACACAGAAAGGACAGCTGATCTGACCCCCAATCAGCGCAGGACCACTCAGAGGAGACTGGTCAGGAATACAGAATTGCTTGGGGTGCAGTTTGGTGAAAAGACTCAGGCCCAGGCTAGAGTTTCTATACAACCCAGGTGCACCAGATTGCATGAGAGCCAGAAGTACCTATAAAGCCAACCATTAAACCCTGAGCTGCACAAAAAGCCTTCCCTAGGGAAAAAGCAGCAAAGAGCAATTTAGCTAAACCACACAGCACAAGTACTGGTCCCCACAGGAAGCTCCCCCATTTTAGAGGTAAGCAAAGGACAACAAATTAGTTCCAGTGCAAAGTTTAAGTGGTGGGAACAGCAAATGATCCAATATAGAACTGAAAGAAAAAACAAAATACCCTCAACCAGAGACAAAGTTTGATATTAAGTAGTAAAGGTCTCATTTCACAAAAGAACACCTGTAACACCTAAAAGGACTGGAAGTCCCCTGGGCTACTAAGCAAGAAAGCGGGGAGATCCGAGGGCCTCAGCAATGCCCCCTGACACCCACAACCAGTCGCAAGGGTGGGGAACGGGGGCCTCGTTCCCGCTTCCCCAGACAAGTGCAGCCAACCCAGCGACAGCCACAGAGCCCCACAAGAAACGCCCTGGGGCTTTTCCTAGCCAGGACAGGCACAGCGAGTCCAGTGACGACCACCAAGCCTCAGCAAGAAGGGCCCCGGGTTCCCAAACTGGAGTGGTGTTGGGGCGAGGGCTTTTGCCATATCCCCCTGACATCTGCACCCAGCCCAGCAATGACCAAGCCACTTCCTCCTTCCTCCTTCTTCCATCCCATTTCCTTCCCCTTTCCCCTCTCCCTCTCCCTCCCAACTGCTCACGACAACAACCTAGGATGTAAAAAAACACTGTTAATAAAACTACATAAAAAAATTAGTAAGAAAAACAACTCATTAAAAAGCAAGCAAAGGATAAAAAGAGAATACACAATTCACAGAAAAATACAGAACAGCCAGCAAACACATGAAGATACCACTCCTCAGGGAAATGAAAATTAAAACCACAAGAAGTCATTTTACACCCACCATGAGAGCAGAGCAAGAGTGGACAAATCTGAAGATATAACATAGAGCCAAAGAGATTTGCTATGGACAGTTCAGTCCAGGATTATATGTCACAGTAAAAAACTCACAGGAAACTAATATCCATCACGATAAAATGGGTAACAAATAATGGTATAGCCACAAAATGGAATACTAACAGAAATTAGAAATGCATGGACTACAGCTCCACCTTATCAACGTGCAGAAAACTCAAAAACATAATGTTAGGCAAAAATACACAGTTACAGAAAGATATGTCTGGTATGATTCTATTAAATAAAGTTTTTAAACATGCAAAATAATACTCCATATTGTTCATGGATGCTTGTAGAACATAGAAGGTGAATTTGTTACCATCTATAAACCATAAAGGAGATATTCTGGTATTGGCGTCATGTTATTTATAACTTCTGCGCCCCAGTTTCCTATTTTGTAAAATAAGAATAATGCCTACCTTGTAAGGTTGTTGTGAGGATTAAGCACGGGAACTATATGTAAACTGCTTAGCATCGTGCCTGGCACAGAGAAGGGGTATTACTGAGAAAGAAACTAGAATCACCTGATGTCTGTTATCTCCCACTACCTCTCACCATTTTTAAAAATTGTTTTCTGATTTTCCTTGGAAGAAAAGTTGCTTTAAGGATGAATGGCTTGTAACAGGTACATTACTTTATATAGACTAAGCAGGTACTTCCAAAGCACTTTTACAGAAGTTTTCAAAGAGTTTAAATGTTCCCCTAAAAAGTTTTCATATCATGGCACACTCCTTAAGATAATAACTACTTAAAGGTCCATTTCCACCTAACCACAGCTTGAATTATCAACTTAAGAACAAGTAGTGACAGAAATCATATGATCTCTTGCTCATGAGTATATTTACTAACCAACTCGAAAATACTACCCTTACTTCAGCAGCAAAAGCACAAGAGATAGCTTGCAGCTTCAAAAGCAGCCCAAGCACCTCTGTGGTAGGTGAGCCCAACGCCTGGACATACCCGAGTGGGACCTGTAATTCTGGTACAGATGGTGGATCTTCTTGGGGTTCCGGACAGCATACTGCTTGTCTGTGGTGTTTCTGCTGGCATAGTGGAACAGAGAGCGCAGATCACTAAAGCGGAAGGCCACCCCCTTCATGATGCTCTGGGCTGTGTCCCCAGTGAGGAACATGGCATTGGGGTCATTGATGCATTTCATCAGCAGTGCCAACTCGGCTTGGGTGAAGTCCTGAATCTCATCGCCATAGAGCTCATGGATGGACCATGGGAGCACCCTGAGCTTTGAAAGCCTCTGGGACAGGTTGTACAGAACATCCTCCTCATCAAAATAACCTTTCTGGGACCTGATCTGTTGATATAGACAGAAGAGGCTATAGATCTCACTCCGGTCTTCTTTGAAATTGGGGGACCGTTTCCTCCCTAATTTCTTATATGCTTCTTCAGTGAGTCTCCCATAAGGACAACTGAGGGCCTCAATAGAACCCTTCAGAAAAGATTTTATTTCTTTCCAAATCAGTGCAGGGTTGTAGGAGGTTTTCCCTTTAGTCATTTTAGGCCATATCTCATTGGTGAACACCTCAAACGTCACATACACCCGGGGGTCACTGTCACCTGTACGCATTTCTGCAGCTTTATCCTCCTCACTGTAATCCCCGTCCACCTCAGCCTCCTCCTCGTCCTCTTGCCAATTGGGCATTGTCAACTCTTCCTGCGTGGACCATCCCACAATGGTTCTTTTCAAGCTTCCATCTTCATTTCTCAGAAAAAATGGTTTGGGCAGAGAAGCATCAAGCAGGAGGAGCAGCTGTTTGGAAGTGACAAACAGAGGAAAGTTCTCGTCCCTCAGGTCCTGGAGTTTGTGAACACTGGGTTCTAGTGGTTTGTAGTGACTGGTAGCCTTGGCAGACTTGGAAAGCTCAATGAAATTCCTTTGTACTTCCTGGCACAGGACATGGTTCTTGGTCACAAAGATCTGATGTAAATGTTCCAGCTGGTGGGAATGTTCTGACACATACACTTCGGCTGCATGGCTGTGCCCCGCTGGCTCCGCACCAGCTCCCCCTCCACAGGCTTCACTCTCCTGCTCCTCATCGATGCTGTCTGCTGTTTCCACTTCAACAGAATCTTCCTCTTCATCTTCCTCTTGCTCCACCTCCTCTTCCTCCCTACCTGAACCCTCTTTTCCAGGTTCCACTTCCAACCTTCTCTTTGGCCAGATCTGTTTAGCCAGCAACGGGCTTCCTGCCTGCTCGGCTTTTTCCCAGTAAACATGGAATTTCTTCCACAGCCTGTACAAGCAGCAGGTCGTCTTCCCAGTGCCACTCCGCCCAATGAGGATGATGGGCTCCAGCGGCCTGGGATTGAGGTCAATAACTGCATACTCAAGCTCGCCCACCCGGAAAGGGTACTCCACCGTCGCCGTCATGTCATTGAGGATGTTGAAAGCCATGTTGGTGCTGAAGCTGTGGAACTTCATGATGTTATACTCCGTCTCCACCGCACTGGCTGGAGGGAAGTACTCGGGATCTACATGCTCCCTGCTCTTCTCTGCATCTGTGTCCTCCACATAGCAGCAGGGTATGCGCTTTTGGATTTTCATGTTAGTTGACACCTGGCTTTTGTTGATACCCTTCAGCTTCTTCCGCAGGACACAGGATAAGCCCCGGTTGTAGGCACTGCAGATGGCCCTGATGGAATCTGACAGTTTGCAGTGATCTAAGACAATGTCCCAGATCCGGATAATTTCTGTGTAGACCCGCCCTGATTTCTCCACGGAGTATATGTTCCGCTCTGCAGCAATGATCTTCTCAGGGTTCTCACTGCATCGAGGGGAGAAGTCAATGGCAAGCTCCCACAGCATCCGGGCTCCTTTGTCCAGCTTAGCTTCGAAGAGCTGGATGCTTCCTTTCAGGTGCTTCAGTCGCTTTTGCAGGCCCTGTGTCCACTCACCATTCCCCAGCTGTTGGATGGCAAGAATAATTTTCTTCTTTATGACCTTGGTCATTACCTTACTGGACAGCTTCTTCAGCATTTCTGAAGTGCATTCAATCTCCCAGGTCATGTTATCAAAGTCCTGGAAGCAGGACTCAATCTCCTGCATGCTCCAGTTGTCTTGATCATCGCTGCCCTCCCTTACTCTGTTACCAGCAGGAATGAGCTGTGAGGCTCCAGGGCCTGTTTGGGCATGTCCTTCTCCTGCCTCAGGGGCAGCAGGATTGTTCCCACTACAATCAGAGCCCCCAGCCCTCAAGATTCGCTGGAGCTTGTCTTTCTTTCCTTTCATGCCAGCTCCTACCTCCAGAGGCTCAGAGCACTGAGTGTCTTCTGGGAAAGATATATCCAATTCAACCTGCTGAATCAAAACCATGATGTCCTGCACAAGGCATTCTCTCTGAGAGCATGGCCCAATAGTTCCAGATTCCTGCCTGCCCACTTGAGCTTCCGGGAGAGTTTCCCAACTGTCAGGGACCTTGGTTCCTTCAGACAGGGTTCTGGCAGTGACACCACATGACAGTGACTTAAATGAACCCTGAGACTTGAGTTGAGATGTATGACTAGGGGCAGTGGACCTCGGAAGCTTCCCCGGGTGGGCAGCAGAGTCCTGCCGGCTCCTCCGCCTGCTCTCAGTCAGAGCTTTGTTCCAGGCCAAGAGCAGAGTGTCGGTCTTCTTAATCCGGTGTCGTACATCTTTGCCTTCTTTGTTCTTCAGGTTGAAGTTGATGTCAAACTTCACCAGCAGGTCTATCAGCTTCTTCATGCGCTTCAGCATGCCCTTCTGGAAGAGGATGTGCATCAGGGTGTTCCCATTGCTGTCCTGGATGTTGGGATTGAGGTAGGAAAATTTGGTGGGGTTGGACCAGAACAGATCCAACAGGTGGCTGAGGAAGTTGAAACCAATGTCAGCTGAAAGATAGAGAAAAGCATATGAGTGCTGAGCCACTCTTCTCAGGAGACAGCAGACCTGATGTTTGTGAAAGAGCCCAGCCTAAACACTGAACTCCCCCAAATATCTGATACCATTGAGTAACCCAGTGGTTTTAAACCAAGAGTGATTTGCTCCCCAAGAGACATTTAGCAATGTCTGGAGACATTTCTGATTGTCAAAACCAAGGGGCTGCCACTAGCAGCTAGTAGGTAGAGGCCAGGGCTGCTGCTAAACTTCCCACAATGCATATGATAGTCCCTGACAACAAAGAATTATCCAGCCCAAATGTCAACAGTACCTCCTGAAATAACTTTCTAATATTCTAGCAAGATCCTTTATATCAGAATCTTGAAAATGGTGTAAATAAATGGAAAGTATTTTGTCAACCACTGACAGCCAACTTTGGAACTTAAGAATCCTCAGTCAGTCCACCCCAATCATTCACCATGACGGTCACTTCTTCCCATCATATATGGGTGAGGGGCCAGGAGACATGGGCAAGAAACAGGCCTTTTCCAGGTCACTGGTTTTCCCAAAAGGAAAGACCAAAAAGCATAGCATCAGTTCTAATATCCAACTTCTTCCTCAAAGAAAAGACTGCTTACAACATAAGGGCTTACCTTTGATATCTAGAAAGATGTGAAGTGCTGCATGCAAAGGAGTATCACCTTCAGTGAGAGAAATACCATGGGGGTCTGCACCCTTGGTCAAGAGAAGAAAAGCCAACTCGAAGTCCTCATGTTTCAAGCACATGACAAGTGGCCTCTCCTGGCTCTCCTGGAGACCCTCAGGCAAGGCTAGGAGAGGGCAGAAGAGAAGAGCACTGTGAATTCCATCCATGTGGAGAGGCACAGCCTGGATCACCTAAGGAGGGAGGGACCACTTCTGCCATTTAGTTGCAAAGGAAGAGTAGATGCTGACCTGACTTCCGAGATCTTCCTACCACCAATCTTTCTGGGAGGCAAAGGCTTCCCCAGCACCCTCAGGGCAAAACCTCAGCTCCTTCAAGTGCCTTCTCCCTGCTCCTTGCCCCTGCCACTTCTCCAGCTCCCCCAATTGTCCCACCACAATACCATAGTTCCCACCATCAGCACTATACTGAAGTGAGGACTGGGCACAAGAATAACTGAAATCCCAATTGCTGCCTTACACAATTCCAGACACACAGTTGGTGATCAGGACATGAGTGCACTTCCTATATCCTTTGCTTCTACCCTCAGTTGCTATCTTCCCTGACACCTTTTCACCCCTCACATCACTTCCCTTTTAGCTCAGTCCACACATCCCCTCTGCATTGCAGGCCCCCCAGACTGCCACCAGAAGGTAGACCCATTCACTGAAGATCTACAGCCCTCCTGCACATGTCTCCAACAGCTGAGCATTCACCTCTGTGGACTTTGTTTCTAGACCTGATCCTGGGATATTTTCTGTAAGTGCTTGCTCAATCAAGGAATAAAACAGGAATTCCATGACAGCTGTAGTTTCCAGGCAAAGGAAGTAATAGTCCATGAAAGGAAGGAGTCTGAAGAAACAAATTATAGAAGGCACTCCATCCAGCATCCAAAAGCTGTGGGTGGAGCCAAGACCTGAAGGCTTTGCACTGTGTGTGGCACTTCAAGGGCTGAGGACTGATGTGTTATTGCTCCTTATGAAGGGCACTTCCCCTTACACGGTAAAGCAAGCAGAAAACCACACAGCCAAGGTACTCTTCCAAAAGCCTGCATACATTAACTCATTGAATATTCAAAACAGCCCTAAGAAAGAGGGACTATTATCATTCCCATCTTATAAATGAGGAGATGAAGGCATAAATAGCATACCCAAGTCCACAAAGTTAGTAGCAGCATTAGTGGGGGTGTGGGGGATGGGGTGGGAGGAGGCTGGGGTTTCTAAATTAGTTTTCTTTAAAGAAAAAAAACCAATCCAGCAAGATGGCTGCACACTCCAGACACACAAGTAGCCATGTGTTATTGTTCTGATTAAAGCAGATGTTTTCGGGCCGGCCCGGTGGCGCACTGGAGAGTGCGCCGCTTGGGAGCACGGCGGTGCTCCCGCCGAGGGTTTGGATCCCATGTGGAGACCGGTTCCCGCTCACTGGCTGAGCGCGGTGCGGGCGCAGCACCGAGAGTTGCAATCCCATTGCCAGTCCCCGATACGGGCATGACACCGAAGGTTGCAATCCCGTTACCGGTCAGTAAAAAAAAGACAAAAAGGAAAAAAATAAAAAAATAAAGCTGTGGCGACGCTCCCGCCAAGGGTTCGGATCCCATGTGGAGACCGGTTCCCGCTCACTGGCTGAGCGCGGTGCGGGCGCAGCACCGAGAGTTGCAATCCCATTGCCAGTCCCCGATACGGGCATGACACCGAAGGTTGCAATCCCGTTACCGGTCAGTAAAAAAAAGACAAAAAGGAAAAAAATAAAAAAATAAAGCAGATGTTTCCACCCACCAATTACTTAGCTGTTTCTTTAAAAACAAGCATCTCAAATCCCAATCTGTTGATTAGAAAAGAATACCTCAAGAGTTGACAAAGATCCACACAGCATATCCAATGCAGGGAAAAGTCTAGCCAGAGGTCAGGAGGCAATGACTACTGTGGACTAAACCTCAGCCAAAGACCCTCCTCATACCTGATGTTTCTCACACAAGAAAGAGAACAGTGGTAACTGGAATTCACAAAAATGCAGAGTTACTATAAGGCAGCTCATTTATCGGGTATTGATCCCTGTCACTGTTTCAAAACAAGAAGATACGCGGGACAGAATAAGGCAGAATTTCATGGTGTCTCCAAAAGCAAGGGAAAGACAGACAGAGGCCTGGACTCCCTATCTAGACAACTTGGACATCTCTCCAGCACTTATCACCTAGGCATTCTCACCTCCACTGTCTATCAGGAGGCCTAGGAGCTGTGTCTTGCGCTGGTCCCAGGTGCTGAGGTGGGGGATGATGGTACAAATGTCAAGGTCTGAGAAGTTGCAGGCTTTGATGAGGCAATCTCCAAGCGGTGGCTCCCCACTCACTTTGCGGGTCAGCAGCAGAAGCACTTCAGGCCATTTCTGCTTTTCCAGTAAGAATTTGATGAAGGTGTTGGCACGGTCTTGATTAATGTCACAGACCAGGTCCGGAGGAATTTCTTTCAAAAACAGAATTAAGCCACACTCCAAAAAAGGTTCATATGATTTCTCTTCATCCCCCAATTACAACCCAACATATATACATAATTAACAAAGATTACATATCAGTATTTTTAAGCACTAGGGAAACTATAAACAAGTAATTAATTACTTTGGGCATGTCACTTAACCACTCATGAACATTACTCAGTGTAAGCACCAACCATGCAGCCTTCTTGAGAAGGTTAGAAATACTCTATAGAGAGTGCAGAGCCTGGCCAAGGAGACAGCCTGATTTTGTCTTAAGGCAGAATATTTGAGTTCAGGGTATTCAATTGAGATCAAAAGGGCAATAACCTAACTTAAATTCTGCATAATATTAAGAATGTGTCCTACTGGAGAAACACTGAAATACAGGGAAATATTATAGAATAATTAAAAAGTCAAGAGTGGGGCCGGCCCGGTGGCGCACTGCTACAGTGCGCCGCTTGGGAGCGCGGCGGCGCTCCCGCCGAGGGTTCGGATCCCACATACAGACCGGCCGCTCACTGGCTGAGCGAGGAGCGGGGGCAGCACCGAGGGTTGCGATCCCGTTGCCGGTCCCGGTCCGGTACGGGCGCGACACTGAGGGTTGCGATCCGTTGCCGGTCATGAAAAAAGACAAAAAAAAAAGTCAAGAGTGATAGGGTAACAATGAGAGGATGGTTTTTCACTCAATTCTTAATTTTGCATCATGACACATAAATGCTTCCATCTGATCTTTGATGTCTGGAGAAAGGAAAATGGTTATCCTATTTCATACTGCTGGTAAGTCTTAATGATGGAAAACTTTTAAAATAGATCCTCAATAAGCACATTGCCAGATTTAGCAAATAAAAATATAAACGTCAGTTAAATTTGAATTTCAGATGTTCATCTGAAAATTTATAAAAATAAAACTTTAGTGTAAGTATATATTATGCTAAAGTACACATTTTTATAAATTTATACATTTTTAGTAAAAGTATGTAGATGCAATATGTGGGACATACTTATACGTAAAAAATTATTCACTGCTTATCTGAAATTCAAATTCAACTGGGCATTCTGTAGTTTGTCTGGCAGCCCCACCAGTAAGAAAGAAAGGAAGAGCAGAAGGGAAGAATCAAAGATTATCTAAATAACAGCAACTTGATTTGTATTTGCCAGCTTTTGCTTCCCACCTTTTTCTAAGTTTTCTAAAATAAATATTCATTTTAATGTTTAAAATAATCATTTTAAAATAAGAAAAAACATATAGGCTAGTCTATCATATTTTAACAGGAATCAGAATAAAAGTGTAAAAGGCAAATTTTTTTAATAGATATTTGCAATTTTTGTCCCCCAGAGTCTATTCGCTCGTCTCCTGGTAGCAGCACTCTCGACCCTCCAGCACTCTCTACTTAGGTATAGATGGGATAGGGCAGCATATGATTTGGGCCTAAGCCAGTCAAGACTCTCCATCTTGGGCCAAGCCCATGGCGCACTTGGGAGAGTGCAGCACTGGGAGCTCAGGAGCGCTCCCGCTGCGGGTTCAGATCCTATATAAGGATGACCGGTGCGCTCACAGTGCTCACTGGCTGAGTGCGGTGCGGCAGGTCTCAAAAAGGACAAAAAAAAAAGACTCTCCATCTTCCTGACTGCAGTTATTGGTTTACAGGGACATATTGTGATCAAAAGTGAAGCCTGGGACTTTTGTTCAAACCATTGAGACAGAAAGATGGGTCTACAAGTCTGGAAATGCTGGACAAGTTAGAGGTTAGAGACCTGTACTTGTCTCCACAGAGAGTCTGAGATAGAAGCTGACAAGAGGACAGCTAAGTTGAAAGATGGAAGATAATGGGGTCCTAATGACATTGGTTACATCACTGAAGCCAGCTGTACCTGAAACCAGATCTGGCATTTCTATTATGAGAGTCAAACAAGTCACTTATTTGCCAATTTAAGTCTGTCTGTCACTTACAAAACAGAAACAGTACTAAATATCCTACTCTCTGACCAATTAAGGACACAAAGAGGAGAGAAAAGGTAAAAAGAGAAAAAAAAGTCAGAAGAGTTGGGTGGATTACAGACCCACTCAAATCTGGGATTTGGGGGAAGACCTTCAGGAAGATACAAAGAGTAAGAAACAGTGAGGAAAAGGGAAAGTAATCTAGCCAAAGTGAGAGAAAAAGAACCCATACCAACACACACAATCCTCCACAGAGAAACAAAAAAAGCACAGGAACACAGATCATAATACACAAGGGTCATTCAAGAATTAGCATTCCCATCTTGTGGCCTCTTATGAGATTTTTACTAAACACCAGTAAGTCAGATTTTATTTTCACAACCCTATGACAGTCTTCATGGGTGATGGGACAGATGACATTAAGTCCAAAAATCAAAGGTTCCCTAGATGTGGTTTGCACAGAATGTCTGCATCAGATAGATCACATACAGGTGGTCTCGTCTTGGGTGTGCCATTTACCTTTGACTCACACATGTACAGGAAAGAAAAACAGGTCTGACAACCTCGCCTCACTTCAACGCAGGAAATTGGACTAAGTGCTCTACATCCATTATCTCATGAGCTTAGTTCGCCAGCCAAGGCAGGGATAGAGAAAATGAAGCTTAAAGAGGTTAAGTACTCAGCCAAGGTTACATATCTGATAAGTGGTACAGCCAACATTCGAATGCAAAACTCCAAGCCTTTAAACACTATGATCCTCTGCATATCCTGAAAAGCATTTTTGGCTCCTCTGGCTATGCCTTCCTGCATTCTCTGTAAAACTGAGACATCTCAGCCTATGAAATGTCAATTCTTAAAATGCTAAGTTTCCCCTACTTAGGATTTTTAGAATATTCCCTAATTATTTAAAGTTTGTCATCTAAAGGTTTTTTCCTAGAAATTTCCTGATTTCCCCATAATGAAAAAAATTAACATTCAATTCTACAATAATTTTATACTCCAACATTAGCCAATATTTATAGACAAGAGAAACATCTGTGGTATTAAAAAGTGATTGTATATTCAAAAAGAAATTCTGGGAGGATACATGAAAAAACTAGTGACAGAGGTTGCCTCTGGGGATGGGATCTAAAGATTGAAGTTCAGGGATACATGACAGACTTTTCACCAAAGAACATTGTGTGCTGTTTGAATGTTTTACATGTAGATGCACTACCTTTATTTTTTTTAATTTAATTTTAAACAAGGTATTAGAAGAGAGTTTTAATGAGCATAAATCATACTTAACACATTTGACTGTTGTGAAAAAAATTACCTTGAAGAGAAGAAAGGAGACGCAAGAACTTCTGAACTACTTCCTGCTTCAGAAAGTTTTTAGGCAATAACTGGTTTCCTGAGTTCATGTATTTCACCAGCTGTTCAGAGGCCTTCCGGAAATTGTCACTCTCACTAGCAGATCCATCACCATTGCTGAGTCCTGCAAAACAACACCAGGTGACGCTTCCACATACAGAGATTGCAGCTGCAGCAGACTGCCAAAATAATCACAATTCTCCACCCCTCCGTGTATCCAGACACTTTGCAATGTGATTTTGCAACACCTCCCATGGAGAAGTGGGGCCTATATCTCCCCACCCTCCCTTGATTTTGGCTTGGCTTCATGACTTGCTATGGCTAACAGAATGCAGCAGATGTAATTTTTGTGTCGGTTCTGAGCATGGGCTTAAAGAAGCCTTGTACACTTCTATTGGCTCTCTTGGGACCCTGGCCTACACCATGTGAACAAGTCTAGGCTAGCCTGCTGGGAAATAAGAGACAACATAGAATAGGAATCAGCTCAGTTGTGCAAATTGAGCCCCCATAGATGTGAGAACCCAGCCAAGATCAGCAAAGACTGCAGACACTTGAAGGAGTTCAGTTAAGACCATAAGAACAGCCCAGACTAAATTGCTCACCTGCAGGATTGTGAGCAAAATAAATGCTTACTGTTTTAAGCACTAAATTTTGGGGTAGTTTGTTATGCAGCAATAGATAACTGATATAATAATTCGGGGAGTGACAACAGGAAGATGGCTTAGTGCAATGGCAACATCCAGCTACACGCCAGCCACCCAAACTTGTATGTCTTACGGGCAAGTGGAAAAAGCGAAGTTAAGTAAGGAGCCATCTCTCTGGCCAAGAAAGGGATGACAATATCCTCTTGGTTCAATTTATTTGAGAAAGTAGTAATGACTGGATAACACCCATTGATGAAGTGTTGAAAAGGTCAAATTTTTTATTTGGTATCAGATTATACACTCAAAAAGCATTCTTAGTTGACATGAAATCTTACTGAACAGAGACGGGAGCAAAAATGGACATTTGTTTTCACACCAAATAAAAAGGACCTGGCACAAAATAGAATTGCTATCATGGTTGTAAAGAGATGAATGAATGTTCAATGTCATGTTCTACCAGAGTGGAAACACTTTTAAAAAGATTTTTAAAAGATTGCTTGAAAATGGGAAAAAAATTAAAAGCATACTCTCTTTAGGCAGGTTCCCCAGCAACAGACCCTGAGTCAAGGATTTGTGTGCAAGTAGTTTATTGAAGAAGAAGACCAGTAAGGGAAAGGAGATGCAGGATAGGGTGGGAGGAAGTCAAGCCAGGGTTTGAGCTCAGGCCAAATCCTGTAGAGGGTGGCATCGGCCTGATCCCACAGGGGAGCTCTGGAGCATGAGTCACACCTCAGAGTTGTCCCCATGCAAGGCAAAGGAAATGGGCTTTCATATTCTTACATGTATCAGTCACTGGCTACAGCCTGCCTTGGGAGGATGTAAATTCTTAAGCCCTTCTGATTTGAGGGAGAATGAGCAAAACCGGTTCCATAAGCCCAAAGATATGCCTTGAGAATATGCCTTAGGTGCTGGCTTCTCATAGTGAAGGCACACCAATGTCAGGAAGCACACAGAAATGGTAAAAGGGGCCCAAGGGGACCCAGGCGGAGTTCCAACATTATCTGCTACACGATCTAACATGCATCTGGATCACACTTCAACAAAGCAATTCAGAAGACCAGAAACACACCCACTTTCGGGGCAAACGCTCATTGTCCTCTAATAAAGAGAGCTTCAGGTGCCAGGCAGAAGCAGGATTCATTACAGCACCGTCCTCCAGAGAAGAGAAAATGTCAACCATCGGGCAAAGAAAGACCTACATCACCTTAGCTGGAAGCTCACTCTGAAACAGAAAATGTGTGTGTATGACAATGTCTGGCTAGCTCCCCTGGGCTTTGCCTCCCACCTTCCTCCTAAAAATACCTATGAAGACAGAAAAAAAATAATGAAAACTCAACATACAAAAAAAATAGGATCCCTGGTAAAAGAGGAACTTCTTCACTACCGAGCTGATGGGAACTTCCTGCTTGTCTTCTTGCACTATGCCATTAAATTTTCAGGAACATCTCTCTCCCCAAGGAACATTAGTTGGGAAAAAGGTCACATGAAAATAAACAGAGGCGTACTTAGCTTAACAACAGAGACAACAAGATGCATCTGTATAATAAACATAAGCTTGCATGGTTTAGACTAGTTAAGAAAGCAGTTATAGATCAGACAAAGCTCCAGACATCAAGAAAGAAATCAGAGAATAATATCAACATAAAAACGCATAGAAGGAAAGTTGTTAAAATACTGACAAATGGTATCCCTGGGTAGCAAAGTTGTGGGTGACTTGTTTATTACACTGAACTCTTTTGTTTCTTCCTAAATTTTCTATAAGCTTAATAAGATACAAAAGAAACGGGACACAAAGTTGCTTATACATTATAATCACAGATTTTTTTTAAATTTAACTATGTAAGTACTGAGCAACAACAACAAAAGACTGAATAAAAAGTATGCCAAAGTATAATTACAATAGATTTTTGTTTTCATATAAAACAATATTTTTACAAATTTTCTACAATGATCATACTGAGCAAATATATAAGCAGATTTGAAGTTAAAGATAAAAAAGATCTTTTGAAGTTGCAACAATGCTCAGAGTATTAGAAAATAGAAAAAAATCATTTCAAAGAGAGGTTTCATTTTTGTCCAAAATCTTTCAAGCTATAAAAGCAAAAGTGGTAAGTCTTATTACACATAATTTTATCAATTTAAATTTAAATATCCATCCCATTTTTTAAAAGATAAAAATGTTTAACTATAAATGCATAGAATAAGACTAAATGACCAAACAACAAACATATTAATTTTTCCTGGCAGGTGGGTTTATGGAGAATTAACATTTTCTTTCCTACATTTCATAAATTTTCTTTAAAAAATTAAAACATAGTTTTTATAAAAACGAAGAAAATATGATGGACATCCTTTAATATTCCATGCCTGCATTAACCAGGCACTATCTTGGTGCTGAGCACAGAGCAGAAAGCAGCTGGCTCCCCACCAGAGGGCCAGAGAGAAAAAGCTTCAGAGGCCTGGATTTGAACTCAGTCGAAAAGGCCAAGCCTTTCAGAGAGAATGAGAGAGAAGATCATAAACAATTGTGAGAAAAACAAAGGCTCCAATCTTGCTGTTCTTGGTCCTAAGGAAAGAGCTGAGCATCAACAGCTGCTAGAAAACGTGGACATGTTGCCATCTGGTGGTGGCCATGAAAGGCAGGTAGAAACAGTTCTATAACTTGACTATTTAGGATTAAATCCTTGCTCCTCAAAGTGGTCTCTCACATCCCCTGGCAGCAGGTAAGAAATGCAGAATCTAGGTCCCACCCTGAATCTGCTGAATCAAAATCTGCATTTTAACAAGCTCCCAAGTGATTCATGTGCTTGTCAATGTTAGGGAAGCACTGCTTTAGAAAACGGCAGAAATCTTCAGCAAGACCCTTTATTTGTCAGGCTTTATTTCTCATCTACATGGCAAAAGCAGTACTATCCAGAGAGATCAGCACCACCATTATCAGCAAAATGAGGTACAGTGACCTTGAGGAAGAGTCAAGAGAGAAAGCATCTTTCATCCTAGTCTGTAAACTGGAATGTTCATTCATCTGCGTGCAAAAAGCTCATGACCTAATGGTGCTGTACTCAGAGCCATAGATGTGAAAAACAAAAATCATCAAGTCAGACTCTAGTCAGAGACGGTACAAACTCCCTAGCAGCAGCTCTTCCCAAAGATAATCTGTCCCATTAATGGATGAGGATGAGGATGAGGATGAGGAGGGAATTAAGGTCCACAAGTACAAAGTAGATCCACCTTCATTCATTCCAATGGCCCAGGGACCTCTCTTCTGACTCTCCCACTGTCTTCTCAACTACTACTCTGGATATAAAGACATTTGGGGGCTAAAGACTAAAACTACACTGTCCAATACAGTGACCACTAACTTACATAAAACTAAAGTTAATTAAATAAAATTAAAATTTCAATTCTTCAGATGCACGAGTCATACACATTTCAAGTGCTCAATAGCTACATGTGACCAGTGGCTATCATATCAGACGAAGCAGGTATAGAACACTTCCATCATCTCAGAAAATACATTGCATGGAGCCGAGCCCGTGGTGCACTCAGGAGAGTGTGGCACTAGGAGCAAAGCGACACTCCCGCTGCAGGTTCGGATCCTATATAGGAATGGCCGGTGTGCTCACTGGCTGAGCGCGGTGTGGGCAACACCACACCAAGGGTTGCGATCCCCTTACCAGTCACGAAAAAGAAAAAAATAATAAAAATAAAAATAAAAAAATAAAAGATATTAAACAAAAGAAAAGAAAATACATTGCATGGAGCCGAGCCCGTGGTGCGCTCAGGAGAGTGTGGCACTAGGAGCAAAGCGACACTCCCGCTGCAGGTTCGGATCCTATATAGGAATGGCCGGTGTGCTCACTGGCTGAGCGCGGTGTGGGCAACACCACACCAAGGGTTGCGATCCCCTTACCAGTCACGAAAAAGAAAAAAATAATAAAAATAAAAATAAAAAAATAAAAGATATTAAAAAAAAGAAAAGAAAATACATTGCATGGAACTAAAAGATCTCCCAGCCACATCTTGGATTTTAAAGTTTGTACAATCAGCAAAAACTTAGAAACAATATTCATGCATACAACTCTATACAGCCATATAGATGTACAAAGGAACAATGATATTCAGTACATAACTCCATTCAGAGATCATTACATACAGAGATCATATTCAGAGATTGACTTCTACAAGGACCGCTAGGAGTACTTTGGGAAATATAGGAAGACTCCAACTTGCTAGCCCTCCCTGATATAAACCAAAAAGATGAGTATGACGGTTATCAGTATTTTCACTTTTTTGACTCAGTGTTTCTCTACAGTCTTTCAATATTCCTCTAGCATGGCAAGAAAATCTTTGTGGTCAATAGTCTGGAAAACTTTAAAATAATCAAAAATCCAATAAGTTTACAAATAAGTATTGGGCTTTTAGGCTTGGCTTCATCCACTGCCATTACAGGCTACCCAGCAAACCCAAAGGCAAGGCTGAAACGATGCACATTCCTCTCGTGCATGCTTTGATGCCAAGCAAGGACAGCTGTATTCTAATGCATTAAAAGAGGACAAGCTGAGATTCTACTAAGTTTCTTCTCTTGGTTCCAAATCCAGTCTACACATTTAACTGGTAAAGGAAAGAGAGGAAGGGAGAGCAAGAGTCCTGTCTCAGAAGATGAGGTGTTTTTAGGATTAGCAGATATTCAAAGATTCTATTATATGAGTACAAGGAAACTAAAAAAAAAATCAAAGCTTTAAAAACAATACAAAAATGAATGACATTCTAAAGACTATAACACTAAATAGAACATAGACAGTATTCTAAGAATACTGTCTACAGAATACAGTATTCTAAGATCAGAATGAATAAAAGATAAATTTGCAAACAAGTCAGCCATTTCTTATTACTAACTAGTGGTCCTTCTTTGTTATTATTAGTTAAAAACCTGGAAATTCTCTGGCAAAGTAACCTGTTTGGTTACTTTCATTTTCTCAAATTGTGGAAATCATTCTGAAATTAAGATTATATGTACAAGCTCTCAGAAAGCACTTCACAGTGGTTTATTATATTACCTCACAGAAGAAATCACAATTCATTAAAACATGAGGTCATTTAAAAACTAAACATGATATGTCACAGCTTTAAAAGAACATCCATGAAGGCTGGCTTGTTGGCTCAGCTGGTTAGAGCATGGTGTTATATATAACACCAAGGTCAAGGGTTCAGATCCCTTTACTGGCCAACTGCCAAAAAAAAAAACAAAAATAAAAGCAAAAGAACATCATTGGATGAAAAAAGGGCTCCACAAATACATTTCTCTCTCACTCTCATATTCTCATGGAAATGACAGAAGATATTTAAAATAAATAAAAATTAAAAGATAGATGGGGAAGCGGGGTGGGGTGGGGGATTGTTAAATAAAAGCAGCTTCAATCTCTTCCCACATAAAACTTTTCTAACTCTGGCAATTACAATAATCCCCAGCCTGTAAGACTATCTCCCACCCTGACATACACCCCTTACAGACTGCCTTCAACTTGCTGCCCACTTACCCATTCAAGGAAGGGAGTGTTTCTGAGGAAACACATTTAAATAACTACAGGAAATGCGTACTCACCACCTACTAAGTATTAATTGATCTAGTCCTTCATTCATAAATACAAACCATCCAAGGTCAGAAGATAATTAGGAAAAAGCAATAGCACAAAAAAGAAACAAGAAAATGAATCAACTAACCCCAAAAGTAACAAATAATTCAGGAAAGAGAATAGTCTAAATAAAGAATAGTCTCTAAAAAAATTTTTTTTTCATTAATATTCTTAAATGTGATTCAAGAAGATGTGGCAAATCAAGAATAAGCTGCAAAAGAAAAAAAAATAATCAGAACAAGAAAGAGTCCTTAGAAATTAAAATTATAGGGCCGGCCCAGTGGCACACTGCTACAGTGCGCCGCTTGGGAGCGCGGCGGCGCTCCCGCCGAGGGTTCGGATCCCACATACAGACCGGTTCCCGCTCGCTGGCTGAGCGAGGTGCGGGCACAACACCGAGGGTTGCGATCCCGTTGCTGGTCCGGTACGGGCGCGACACTGAGGGTTGCGATCCGTTGCCGGACACGAAAAAAGACAAAAAGGAAAAAAAAAAGAAAGAAATTAAAATTATAACTTTCTAAATTTAAAAACACAGCAATGGACAAGTTGAATTATAAAAGGAAAAGCTAAAGACTAAGTTAAAGATCTGCAAAGAAAAAAAGGAGATAGAAAATATTAGGGAAATATAGAGACACGTATTATAAATTCAAGAGCCTCATCCATTTAATACTAGTGGCAAAGAAAGAAGAGACATTGGAGAGGAACAAAATAATAAAAGATTAATTCCTTGAACTAAGAAAGATAGACTGAAAGGGGCCAACAGGTGCCCAGCAAAAAGAATGAATAAGGACCAACATCTAGATACATCCCAAGGAAATTTCAGAACTCCAAAGACAGGGAAAATCCTAAAAGGAAAGAAAAATGATTGACCCAGACTTCTAATCAGTAGCCATGGGGGTTAGAAGACAATGAAACAATTTCTTCAAAGTTGTGAGGAACAAGGTTTTATAGTATATTTCATAAATCTAAGATACCATGGATTTTTGAACACACCAGAAAAGGCTGCCGTATGTCACCGATTATAAAACACATTCCAATTTCAAATATGCTAAAATGTGGGAGGAAAGTACAACTTATTACCGATGAAATACAATGCCCATATTCAGACAAATTTTCAATCAATATGAGGCTAAAATAAAGACATTTTTAAAAACTCCATAAGTCTACTATCCATTCCTTCTCCATGAAAAACTTGAGTAGGTACAGTACTCTAGCAGAACAAGAAAGAAATTTACACAGATAACATGAACCATAACAGTCACATAAGCACAAGAACTACAAGAAGCACAAAAATATATACAGTTGACCCTTGAACAACACAGGTTGGAACTCAGCAGGTCCACTCATATGCAGATTTTTTCAGAAAATACTGTAAATGTATTTTCTTTTCCATATGATTTTCTTAATAACATTTTCTTTTTTCTAGTTTACTTTATTGTAAGGACACAGTACATAACATATATAAAATACAAAGTATCTGTTAATCAACTATTTACGGTATTGGTAAGGCTTCCAATCAAGAGTAGGCTATTAGAAGTTAAGCTTTTGTAGAGTCAAAAGTTATAGGGCTGGCCCGGTGGCGCACTGCTATAGTGCACCGCTTGGGAAGCGCGGTGGCGCTCCCACCGAGGGTTCGGATCCCACATACAGACCGGTTCCCGCTCACTGGCTGAGCGAGGCGCGGGAGCAACGCCGAGGGTTGCGATCCCGTTGCCGGTCCCGGTCCGGTACGGGGGCGACACTGAGGGTTGCGATCCATTGCCGGACACGGAAAAAGACAAAAAGGAAAAAAAAAAAAAAAGTTATATAAGGATTTTCTACAAGGCAGGGGAGGCGGGTACGGCAGCTCCCCTAACCCACAAGTTGTTCAAGGGTCAACTGTATGTGTCTGATTAAACTGAGATGCTTATTGAGTATCACATTTTAAGAGCAAAGTTTTCAGGACATTTAGTGATTCTTTCTGTGGGTCCAGCCATGCTACTAGCTGTAGAAAGAGTAACATTTACATGATCATACAAATGCCATTCCCTGGTTTTCAATTTTTAAATCAATCTATAGATGAAGCATGAAAAACTTAGAGTTAAGTAATAGAATGTAAATGATACAAATAACATTACTTGACGAAATCGAACAAGTAGGACTTACACAACCAAGCACTTCATCTTATACAGCAGAGTCTGTCAACAGATGCTATCCCAAATTGAGAAATCAAGAAATACAGATATAAGTGTATTTTTAATTGTTGACAGTGATTGTTTCTGAGGAATAGGCTTGATTTTTGTTATCTCCTGTTCTGATTTTTTTTTTTCTTTTTTGCTGTGTGCGGGCATGGAAAATATCACCCATACTGCCAAAGGTGGACCTGGAGAAGTTCCCAGAATGTTGCAGATGCTCTCTAAATAAGAGTTGTCTCATTTTATCTTTCCAAAAATGCAAACAAATTTTTTCAAAGATTGGGGGGGTCTCATTTCCATCTACATGTACCAAAAAGAGAGAAACTGTTTTGTATCTAATATGACAGAACCAGTTTTACCCCCCACAAAAGTTAATTCACTATAAGCTGTACCTGATAAGTCCTTAGAACACGTAGCCAGCTTTTCCAAGTGACTGTTGATTTTCTCGATGGCTTTGAAGTTCTTATTCCTCTTCAGGACATCTACAGCAGACCGAGATTGTCGATCCAGCAGAGTGGGGTCTGCTCCAAAGCGCAGGAGCATCTGCACATCCTCTGTTTGTCCTATGGCAGGCCAAAATGAGAAAGGGGGATTATCATGCTTCCTTCCATAAGGAGATGTCCCCATGAGTGCTCTTCCTCCCAGTTTCCTGCCCAAGTAGCCTGGGGCAAGAACACCAGGGTCCCTCTGTTTACAGAACCTCGACTGCCAGCCTCAGGCAGTCCACCCAACTCCCTGAAGCAAGGAGTCCTGTGTGAAGTGGGAAGGACAATAGCTTTTAAGAGGTTTAGAAGTGTGCTCCTCTCTACCTTTCTCCCCTCTCCTTGGCAACAAGCAAGGAGAGGGGGAATCTGGTTACTAGGCAACAGTTACAGCTATAAGGATAACAGCAAGCTGTGACTTCAGATTTCTTTATTCCCTAGAGAGTAAACAGAATATTCTTCCAGAGAAAAAAAGCCTATCTGGGGACAGGGGAACAAAGTAGCAATTGCTTTGGCATCAGGGGTTTTTCGTTGTCACTGTTACCACCCTTCCAGCCCCAACCCTCTGGCTGCCAGCTCCATTTGTTGCTCTGACATGTCTATTTGTCAAGCATCAAGGTGTCTCTGTGATCAGAGATGCCAAGAGTTTTCAGAATGGAACAGGCAAAGCCCTGGAGGTACACAAAGACCTATGTGGACACAGAATTAATCAAATCAATGCCTGATTGCCAACTTCCATATGTAAGCTTTCTTAAAATTCACCACCTGACAAGGCACCTTTATTCCAGGAATAATCCTGCTCCTGGTGTTCTTCTTTCCCATCTTCCCAGTCACAACTGCCCTTCTCCCACTTAACAAAATTTTTTTAAAAAGTCATACTACCCATCAAGAATCTTACTGTGGTAGGCAGAATTCTAAGATAAGCCCCCAAGATTCCTAAAACATGGTATACACTCACCTTCTCCCAGTTATTCAATCAATACTAATCTAGGTGATGAGACTTTGAAAATATAATTCAGGTCCCAAATCAGCTGACCTTAAGATAGGTGGATTATCCAGATGGGCCTGACCAAATCACATGAGTCCTAAAGGTCAAAGTTCTCAGAGATGGAAGAGGTCAGAGATTCAAAATATGAGAGAGATTTGATATACAAGAAATTCTCCCCCGCTGGTTTTGAAGATACAGGGGACCACATGACAAGGAGCATGTGTAGCCTGTAGAATCTCTGTCTGATGGCAAGGACAGAAATAGGGATTCTGCCACAACCATGTGAGCTTGAAAGAGAGCCTGAAACTCCAGATGAGAACACAGCTGAAGTCAACACCTTGATTTCAGCCTTGCAAGACACTGAGCAGAAAACTCAGTCACATCATGCCAAATTACTAATCTATAAGACTGTGAGCTAATTAAGTGGCTGTTGTTTTAAGCCCCTAATATTATTATGATTTGTTACATAACATAGAAAATTAATATAATTACTATAGAACACTGCCCCAAGGGAGGTAAAAATTCCTGTCTTCCAGGGTACCAACCTAAGAAACAATTAAAACTGATGCCTACAAAGCTCTTTTCAAAAGGCACTACAATGCACCCCTGTCTAATGCCCCACAAAATTCTATTTTTATGTTTAATAACTATAGAAATTTTTACTATATTTATGTTGTTTTGATAAACTTTGTAGTAATTTTAGTAATAATTCAATCCAGAAAAAAAATTAACCTTTAGAGCCCTACAATCACAGAAATGTTTTAAAGTTAAAGTTATACGAGTATGACTACTTTTGTTCCAAAAGAATATCACTTGATGACCAATAAGATGTTCAAGCATAAAATATACTAGGGAAAACTTCTTATAGAAAAGTAAACTGGAAATATGATCCAAAAAAATGCACAAGTTGATATTTTTGACGATTAAAAAGCTTGTCCATAAATTTTAAAATAAATGTTGGAGGGTATCAAACTGTTGTGGTATTTATATTCTATTAAATACAAGTGAAAAAGTGAGATAACAGTTTTATTTTAAAATCTCAACATGTAAAAAATTCTTAAAGTTACCTTTTCTTACAATTACTTAGACTCACAGATAAAAAATTCCAGATGTCAACTTAAAAACAGATAAAGAGGTACACAGTTTTTTAAAAAATTATTTTAGGGGATAAAGTAGCAATACTTGAAGACCACTTGTATACCAGACTTATTTTTTTTTCTGAGAACAACCCAGTTTTCCTTTGAGAAAGCACCTTTTCTCCCTCAGCCTACCTGATTTGATGGGAGTGTACATCACACAAACAGAAATATATGCCTGCCACCATCACATTTTCCACCACTGACTCAACTCCCCACTCCAGGGGCTAACACCTCACCCGGATCTGGCCAATCAGATCATTCCACCCTACTGGCTCAGTCCCATCCCTGCCTCCAGGGGCCAATACCTCACCAGAACCTAGCCAATCAGATCATTCCATCCTTCTGGCCCTAGTTACTGGTTCGTGGATGACATATGACCAAAGTCAGATCACTGAGATATACTAGTAGGACTTTTACTGAAGTATGGGGAGGAGGTTATCTTCTTTGACTGTGATTGACAGATTGGAAGAAAATAAGCCTGAAGGTTCTGGTGGCCTCCACTGAAAGAGCCTCAAGAATGAACCTAACAGAAAAGAAAGCCTGTGTCTCTGCTACCACAGATGGAACAGTTTTCAGAACTCGAAGCAGAGCTAAGCGGCAAAACAGATTCTTGAAGACAGCTTTCAAGTGAGCACCTGGACCAAACTCTGGACTCTTCAGTCACATAAGCCAATAAATTCCCTTTCTTGCCTAAACAAGTTTGAGTGTCTTTAGCTTGTAAACAAGACAGATGCAACTAGCCCTGACCCATCCTCACTTCTTCAGTTCTAGGAGATGACCATTTCTAGGCCTCAGGTCCCACAGCTGCCCTGCTCTGGTGACTCCCTGATACTCTGCATCCCTGGCCCTCTCATATCACTCTGTACCAGAGCCAATGTGACCATTATAACAACGAGAATCGACCAAAATACCAACAGAACCAAAGATTTCTAAGGCCTATTTATGCTGTATTTATTTCAAATGGTGGATTTGAAATTTAGGCCATATTAAAGAATCTGGAGAGTTCTTGACTTTCCATGTTCCAAAAAATACTCAAGATAAAGATAACCTCATACATTGTTTGGGGAAACCTTGCTGGAGATCAAGTTAGCAGTAGCTTTCAAAATCCAAACACATACCAATGTGCTAACATATTAAACATATATGTTTTCACTTGCATATGATAAAATATTTACAGAAGAAAACATAAGATACTAGTAACATTTATTCCTGGCAGTGCTGAAGAACAGAGGTAAGATAGAGATTTTTAAGGTATATCTATTGTACCTTTTGATTTTTTCAATGTAATCTGTTTAAAATTTAAATAAAATTACAATTTATCCAAATAAATTAAACGTACGAATCCTTCAAACAAACAATTTCTCAACTAGAAAATCATCCTACATATATATTTCCATTGATTCACAAAGATATATGTAGAAGAATGGTCTCTGAGCATTGTTTCAATAGAAAAACAAAATAATTTTAAACACCCATCAATAGTGTATGGTCACAATATAGAATGCTGTGATATATGAAAAAAATGAAAAAGCTATGCAGGTACTATTACCCGCATAGCTGGCCAAGACAAAAATATACTGTTCTGTGAAAAAAGCTAGTTGCTGAGCAGAATGTAGACTGTGCCCATATTTATATACAAGAAGAAAAAAATTTTTCAATATATATATACTGGCAAGACTCACAAAAAAATGTTTTGATAGTTAATAACACTGTAGAAAAGAATTTACTTTTTCTCATATATCCTTTTTTTTAAGAAAATGTAATTTTACTAATATTTTTTACATTCTAGGATGTTGTGTGGAGCAGCTGTGAGGAAGGGGGAGAGGGGAAAGGGGAAGGAAATGGGATGGAAAAAGGAGGAAGGAGGAGCAGTGGGATTGAGGCCTGTGTCATCCCCCTCATTCCTACAGGGGAGACCAGGGGGCTTCCAGTGGTGGCTTCATTATTGCTGGGCTGGGTGCAGATATCAGGGGGTGTGTCTAAAGCCTTCACCCGCCACCTTCCCAGCTCAGGAACCCAGAACCCTTCTTGCTGCAGCTCGGTGGTCACTGCTGGGTTGGCTGCACATGTTGGAGGAGTACGGCCGAGGCTCTGGTCTCCCACCCTCAAGATTAGTTGCAGATGTCAGGGGGCATTGCTGAGGCCCCCAGCCTTCCTCTCTTTCTGGTTTGGTAGCCCTAGGGACTTCCAGTCCTTTTAGGTGTTATAGGTGTTCTTTGGTGAAATAAGACTTTTACTAGTTAATATCAAACTGTCTCTGGTTGAGTGTACTTTGTTTTTTCTTTCAGTTCTCTGTTGGATTATTTGCTGTTCCCACCGTTTAAACTCTGCACTGGAACTAATTTGTTGTCCTTTGCTTACTTCTAAAATGGGGGAACTTCCTGAGGGGACCAGCACTTGAGCCCTGTGGTTGAGCTAAATTGCTGCTTTGCTGCTGATTCCCTAGGGAAGGCATTTTGTGCAGCTCATGGTTTAATGATTGGCTTTATAGGTACTTCTGGCTCTCACACGAGCCGGTGCACCTGGATTGTGTAGAAACTCTGATCTGGGCCTGAATCTTTTCATCAAACTGTACCCCATGCAATTCTATATTCCTGACCAGTCTCCTCTGAGTGGTCCTATGCTGATTGGAGGGCAGATCAGCTGTCCTTGCTGTGCCAGTGTTCCCGCAGTAGGCCCATCTCCCCCACCACCCATGCTGCAAACACTTCCCATGGGACAGGCCATGCCTCAGTCCCTTGCAATGACTCACCGGCCTCTGAGTGGCTCCTTTTTTTCAGTTGTTGTGGCTCCTCACTCCTATGTGGGTCCACAGAAACCCTATTAGTGGTCTTGCTGGCCTGGGGGCCACCAAGGCCCTCTTCACCCTTGCCACCTCCATGCAACTTCATCCAAAGGGCACAGCTGTGGCTTTTGCCAGCTCCTGCTCTGTGCTCTCAGCAACTCCAGCTTGG